GCAAAATCTAAATGTATTCAACACCTTGAAGATTAAGACAGACGCCCTTGAGTTTGAGATCGACAAAGAAAAACGTGCTCATGAAGACAGGGCAGACCAAGATTTACAGCTGATCAACACCTTGAAGGCCGAGATCAAAAGAATAGAGAAAAAAGCTGGGTCCCATAGGAATGATCTGGTGGACCTGAGAAAACAGCTCAATGTCATGAGCTCTGAAAAGCGCGCTCGGGAAGACAAGGCAAAGCAAGATGCAAAGCAGATTGATACCCTGAGGGCAGAGAAAGAAGCCCTTCAGCGTGAGCTAGAGACTGTAACGCTTGCTTATACAGACAAGGTGGAGCAAGATACAAAGCTGATCGACACCTTGAGGACTGAGACAGACACCCTTCGTAAAGAGATGGCCGAAAAGACTAGAATGCAGAAAGAAGCTGATCATAAGGCCATGCTCTATCAGAGAGAGCTGGAGGAGCTGAGAAATCAGCTCAATGCTGAGAAACCCTCCAGCAGTGAACAGCCTGATAATAACCCTGGGGAACAGCATGGTTCACCCCTCCCTAGTGCCCTCCATGATGAAGAACTCACAGAGAATGCTGTGGTCTCTGAAAAGATCATGACAGAGACGACAAAACAGAAGTCACGCTGGAAAAGATTCCGCCACTTTCTGGGACTGAGAAAACCACAGAAGTGGAAGAAATAAACCCAAACCCCTTTCACATCAGATATTTAAATTAGAATCATTGGACAAGTCAAAAGGCTGCTGTTAAAACTGTCTAAAAAAAAATTAATCAATTTGGCCAGATGTTTTACTAAATCACATGACAGGGCCGTCACATGTAGTGACAGATGTCATGTAATTTAGTAAAGAAAACAAATTAATCAGGGCAGCACAGTGGCGCAGTGGTTAGCACTGTTGCCTCACAGGCCGGGCCGACCAGGGGCCTTTCTGTGTGGAGTCTGCATGTTCTCCCTGTGCCTGCGTGGGTTTTCTCCGGGCGCTCCGGTTTCCTCCCACATACCAAAGACATGCAGTTTAGGTTGATTGGAGACTAAATTGCCCCTAGGAGTAAATGTGAGTGGTTGTTTGCCTATGTGTCATGTAATTTAGTAACACCCAAATTAATTACCTGTAGTAATTAATTACTACTCTTTTAAAATCTCAATAAAATTCCTAAAAAGGTTCAACTTTCTCTATTGAGTTAGTTTTTTGTTATTAATATTCTTATGGTTTCAGTATGGCTTTACACTTTTGAGTAGTGATGTTTAAAGCTGTGTATGATGGGTAACACATAGACTATAATACAAATAGTTTGTGTTCTGTTTGGGGTTTTTTTTTACATCCGGTTTCACTTTAAAGAAAAAAAGATACGAGTAATTAATTTTTCAAGCTCAGTCTCAATGGCCTTGGCTCATTTTGTGTGAAGAACATATATCAGAACACATTTTCAATGACCGCACACTGAGATGGAAGGAGAGGCAGACAAGCTAGCTGCCATCAGGACAGTGCACCGTCTCCCTGTTTTACAACCCTGGGCCTCATGTCACCGTTGATGAGCAGCTGGTGCCATTTAGGGGCCGCTGCCCCTTTAGGCAGTATATGCCATCCAAACCAGCAAAATATGGCACAAAGATCTGGGCTGCCTGTGATGCCACAACCTTGTATGCTTGGAACTTACAAGTCTACACAGGAAAACCTGACGGAGGAGCCCCAGAGATAAATCCAAGGGATGAGAGTTGTCCTGGACCTGGTGTCCTATGTGCCAAAGAAAGACAAGAACGTTGTTCTGATGAGTACACTGCACAGGGATGGGAAAATCTGTGGCCAAAAACCACAGATCATGTGATGTATAGGTTTGTCTGTGTTCAATGGGGCTGTGTCGTGTAGACCAAAATGGTTAGTGTGTGTTCAGCTTGTGCTGTGGAAACTGTCCTGAATGTTTGAAATGACTGAGGTTCAAATAAAAATCAGCAGTTGTGAAAAATCTTGCTTCATTTGTAAATTTGTTGTTTTTCTCTAATCGTCTAACAAAAAAATTAGCATAATACACTTTTAACCCTTATGTAATGTAATCTAACAAAGGTAAAGGGCAGGTGTAAACATCTGTTGATTATTACATTGTTTTAGATTCAAATTCTTTGATTATGTTGAGTTACAAAGCCAAAAGATGATGCAGATGCAGGACACCCACGCACACCACCAGTGTAAACAAAACCTGAACAGAACAGCAGGGTTAACCCTGTTGCGGGTCAGATTGACCCTCGAACATAACTGCTGAGCAGGCATCACCAGAGAAATGAACATAACAGGAGGGTTCCCTCAACTCATTTTGGTTCACTTGCTTTAACACCCCACCGTTCAGAGAAAACGATGTGCTGCTGTAAACAGCACACTGGTTCAATCAAGCCTATTGTACGCAAAAATTGTACAGAGTGATGTATTTAAGCAGAAAATTCCACCAAATGGTGGGCTGACTAAATGGCCCTGTGTCCGCTAGAGGCTGGATGGACACCTTAATTTATAACAACTGCGAAAGCCAGCGGTACTTCAAAGATCTGCTGCTTTGAGTTACTGTCCTCTAGTGGTCAAAAGTAGCTTAACGCAATTGTAAGCGTAGCAATAAGATTTGGTTCTAGATACTTATCTCCATGGATAAGTACTGTAAACATCTGTTTAAAAAAAAGTTTCACTTGGAAAGAGCTGGTAGAGGATGCTTCTGCAGAAAACATGTTCATTTCTATTGTACGCTACAGTATAAAATTTTATTAAAGACTCAGAAATGTTTTCTCTAATTTTCATACTCCATAAACATCTGCCTCCACCATACTGACTGCTGCATGCACAGGTTTAACAGTTGCAGGGTGTTTTTACATGACTCTGTCTGCTGAAGGGGGCAGATGTCAGTCTGGGTTCGCATGACACTCACACATATCCGACTGAATCTCTCCAATGTTCCCTCCTGTCATCGTACTGTATACACTGATTTCACCAGTCTACCTGGCAGATGCAGCTCTGGTGGTCATTTCCATATATTTGAATATTCACATATAAGGAGACTAAATGTAAATATTTTTTCTTTATTTTATCTTAGGAAAATGTAACTTTGACATGTTTTAGATTTGATAAGTATATAGCCTACATTTATTATTTTGGTAGTAGTACAAGTTTGACATTTTAGAGATGTTGTCTAATGATTTAAAAAAAAAAAAAAAGACACTAGACAATAATGTTATAGATGTAGGCAGCAAAAAGGTTATGGCAACTGGGGGATTTTCCATTCCTGAGTTTAAACTGGAGTTTCTTATCTTATCTGCTAATATAACAGTGAACTGAGCTAACAAATGAACATTTAAATTATTTAAAGGTGGAATTTTAAAAACTTTAAAAAAAAAATTTTTTAATTAAAAAAAATTGTTTTCTTGTTTCTTTGTTTTGGGGTAAAATATGAAAGTTACTGTTAGTTTACTGTAAAAATCTGTAATTTAATCCAGTGTTTGCTGTCAGACTACATTCATTGGAGGGTTGGGTTTTGTTTGTTTTTCAGCAGTACAATATCAAATGTCTAGTGCCCAAATTTCTCACAAGACCTTAACGACCAAACTCGAAAGCAAAATGATATACGACAACAGCAAAATATCCAGGACTTAACCCAAAGTTGTCACATACATAGTTTTATTTTACTCCCCTTTAAACAAATACCACAGTCAAAAGCAACATCATGTGGTCCACAATGGGTACTACAAACAGTTTTCATACTCGACCACATAGAAGTCAAGAAAAAAGAAGAAAGCTGGTGTATTGTATGTGTAAAAAAATTTATTGATTCTAAAAGTTAAGAAAATTGCCCTCTTAATTCTCTTCTCTTGAAACAGACCCAACTTCACTTCCTCCCTTCACTGAGCGTTCAATTTGGCAACATGTGTGTTCAAATAACTCCTTTCATCATCTTCCAAAGCATGTTACAGTAAGGCTTTCGAACACATTTGGACACAGGCATTTTTGTTGCGTTTTGTGCTTTCAAAGCTGTGACAATTAAAACCTGCATCTCTAACAATGTCTTTCAAGCTTCAGTAAACATTTGCCACTGACCTAAAATTTAAATCGACACTTTATCCTGAACAGATTTTCCCCCCTCCAGTAGGGCTCACAACTACAATTGAGACAAACAGGCAAATTCCATCATTTGGGGGCAACTGAATTACACTTAGGGTCAGTCCACTCAGAGAGCAATGTGTATTCTGAAAAGTTGTTTAAACATTAAAAGCACTCAACTTGAGAAACACTGGGTGACTTTTACAGGAAACACATGGTACCACTAAAGTTTGCATTGCCACTGCTGCTCTCTGTCTCACAGAGGATGAATGTCCTTCCCATTGACCACACTTGGACTTGGTCAGTGGTCATTCTATGTGATAGAGAAACACATTCAGACTGTGGAGTGCCAGATTTAGTCCGTTTAGTTTAGTGCAGACAAACAGTCAATGTAAATCAAAAGATCATTTGATAAAATTTACTCTGAAAACACTGACCAGAACTGGCATCAGATATGACAAACTCATTTAAAACTGTATTCACCAGTGGGATCCAGTCACATTAAGGCAAAAGAATAGAGAATCTCTTTTAAAAAACAGCTGATGCCACCATTTTCTACTGAACGGTTCTAAGGCATATCATCATCAGCATCCAGCAAGACTACTGCAATGACAGAAACACAGTAAGAGGAGATAGAGGATCACAGACTGTGTTTACGGACAGACAAAACCAGGCGACAGTCTGCGCACCCGAACTGTGCAGCTTTAAACAAATACATTCTGGATTTAAGTTCACATTGTTTAGTCTCAGAAGAAGGAACTGGTCAGACATACTGCAGGAACCTTTACTCTGGAGCAGGAAGATTTCAGTGTCTTGGAGTTGTTTCACCATAGCAAGTGCTTCCTGTCAAGTTGTTGCTTTTTCATTTGAGATGTTTTTTTTAAAGTAGAGCTGCTTTTTTTTTTTTTTTTTTTTTTTTTTTTTTTTTTTTTTTTTTTTGCAGCTACATCCCATTAATCCAAGGTACAGCGAAAAGGTGACAATATTTTAAAAATACATACAAGATGACAATAGAACACCCTGAAGTATCAATAGATGATACATCCATAAATGAAAGAAAACATAGATGTTGTTAAAAGGAGATCATGCTCACTGAGTTCCACACAATATGAGGGCTGAGCAGTTCAAGTCCACAGCAGCAGAGCTCAGCTTATTTTCCAGTCCTCACACTACATACTGGTACACGTTTGCCTTGCCATAGTCGGGCGTCGCAAACGGGCTCAGCCAGCTTATCGAGAACGGATGGCCAAACACCACCTTCATGTTCATCCATTTAGACCTTTTGGCCCATTTCCTCTCCTCCTTTTTCAGCTGCTCGATGCCCTGCAGGGGTGAGACATTAACAGACATGGGAAGACATGAGTCTCCAGTTCTGATTGATGATCAGAGCTGATGTAGAAAATCAACTGCAAACATACAGCTGCCTTTCATTTTAATGTGACAAGAGAAAATAACCACTCAGAAGTTAACAGCAGATGCCACCATTGAATCCCCTCAGATGTCTTAAAGGGTCAGGTGACTCATTCTACAGCTATCTTTCTGAGGACAGAGGTGACGTAATGCATTCCCTTGGTCCTTACCCTAACCATTACATCTAACTGCACTCCCATGGTCTAAAACTCACAATGCAAAGCAATACAAATACACACACACACATGAAGATGCACTAACAGAGCATTACAGGCTCCATGAGTCAGAAAGAGACGGAGACGGTCTTTGTAGTGGATATTATGAGACTGTGAGTCATCCTTGTGGGTGATAATGAGAAAATGTTGTAGTTTCAACCTGTGTGGAGGCTATAAGTGAATTACCTTCTCCAACTTAAAAGTACATCTGTGATCTCATTTAGTAGCTGCATAATTTTCAAATCCTACATGTATCTATGTCTGGTTACCTAAACTCAACCGGTGACTCTGTAGTCATTAAAAGGAGATGCACTACACTGTTATTACATTATTATGCATTTCTTTTAAATGTTGTTTGAGCATTTTATACTTTCAATGAATGCCATAGTAGTGAGTCCTAAAGGCCAGAACTGGGTTAGCGTATTTGCACTTCCAGTTCTTGCTCTAAAGGGGATTGTCCATAGGGCTGATAGGGAGTGAGCTGCGTAAAAGCCCTTGGACAGAACGGTTCTGACAGAGACTTGGCGACTAACCCTCCAGTGCCACCTGACTATTCAATCCCAACTATTAGACCAGCGACACAAGTGCAACTGGATTTCAGTTTTTAAAAAGGTGCACAGAGGTGAAACCACTCACCGTCTCATCGCTGCAGATGGAGTGAACCTGAGTCCCAAACATGACGGCAGTGAAGATCAGAAAGAGGAGGCCCTCACAGCAGAGGAGGATGAGGAGGATGACTGTTGTTGGTGGAGAGAAGTTACTGCACTCTGTTGAAGGAGAGGAAGATGAGCGAAGGATTTCGCATGTAAAACGAACAAGCTTGTTAGCTGTGTAAAACCTTACACATGCACAGTGGAGACCAGCACTATACCAGGACTGCAACGAATCTAGTGATGTTTTCTATTTCACTTAATATTCGTTTTATAACAGGTCAGAAAATTGTGAAAAATGAGCATCACACACTCCCAAAGACCTTCAAATGAGTATGGCCAACCTACAGTCCAAAAACCCAAAAATATTCAATTAAGTGTGGTCTAAAAGGGAAAATCAGAAAATCCTGAATTATGAGAAGCTGGAGCTGGACAAATAACTTAAACAACTAACTGATTGTCACATGTGCCAGCTATTTTTCTGATTACTGACTAACAGTTCTACATCTCACTGGAAAATCTTGGGCAGATTGACAGTGCAGAACAGTTTGCTGGTGGTTCCTAGTTCACAGCATCCGTGACCTGGGGATGGAGCCACCGGTCTCTACACTACTCAAATACAGCATAATACTTACTCGCCCAGTCTTCTTCAAAGCAGACAAAAAAATGGAAGGCCACCATGATTAGTGCATGGAAGGATATTAGTGCAATGTACATCTGGAAAAAAAGAAAATACATTTTATATCAACAAGTCACAGTATAATTTTTTCACAACTATAGTAATCATATAAAGTTGATGTAACAAAATCCAAAAAACTGGCCCTTAAATCATTTATTTTGACAGAATATCTAGTTGTGGAAAGTCAGATCCTGTTAACTGTGTATTTATTTATGTATAGATATTTATAACATAAGAGGCGAGTACAGATGAGAGCGCAGAGATGATGCGAGACATTCTTTTGAGACTCACTGTGAAGAGCACAAAGTATTTCTGGTTGTTCTCTCCGACACAGTTGTTCACCCAGGGACAGTGGTGGTCCATCTTTTTGATGCAGCGTTTGCACACGCTGTGGACACACAGATACATTATCGAGATGATAAAATAGACTGAAAACTATTTCAGAGTAACTGTGACCTTGTGAGGCAGCAGGCAAAAGACCAACCTGACTGATGAGAAACTGGCCAGACTGCTCTCAGTCATAGAAACTGGAGTGTGTGTGTCTATCTGTGTACATGATGTGCATGTGGAGGGTTCTTTATCTGACAGAACAGCTAGTGACTGACAACTCGAGTAAGGCCTGACAGCTCATGATCTATCACTTGGCAAAGCAGAAAGTCACACTCAATCTACCCATGTGCATGGCTGATGCACAGTTGGAGGGAAATCTATATTTAAAAACCTGACGCCCTGTGTGTAAAATAATATTCATATGGATCATTATTGTATCACCTGAACATCCCACAAGGACAACTCAAAATAATCAGAGTTCATACAGCCAATGAGAGAGAGTGACTCCCTTTAAAATTTAATTAATCTCAGGTCTTTTTGCACTTTTCATGCTTCCAGCTCCCAGAGAAACCAAAGAGCAGCCACAAAGGGAGCTGCTTATTGCCAAGCTGCACAGTCCACAGAGAAATGCAATACAGCTACTATAAAAAAAAACAAAAAACAAAAAAAAAAACTGAAGAACACACACACAGGGAGGCTGGAGAGCTGGTGCAGAGAGGAGTCCCCAGTGGGAGAGTCACATCAGGACTTTCCTCTGCAAGGTGCCGACTTCAGCAGAACTCTCCGCCCGCACAGACTCACATCATAAAAAATGAAGCATTTGCAGTGAAAACTGTTAATCACTCACACAGCCAGTCTTGTACCTGCAGTGATGAGCTCTGTCAGGTTTGATGCTGCAGCACTTGGGACATTTGTACACCACCTGTCCAGGTTTGAGCTGTAGGCTTTCAATGAATTCTTTGGTAGCGTTCCCTTTAGGCACGGCTCCCTGGAAGTGAGGGGAGGAAAAAAAAAGAATGTAAAAAGTACTACGGCAAGTCATCACATTTGACAAGTGGGAATCTGAGAATGTTTTGTGTTTTTTTTCTTTTCAATAATTAATCAATTAATTCTATTCACAACTTCCCAAAACCCAAACTGACCAGGCAATCAAAAATCAAAATCTCAAAGATATTCAGCTTATTAACAGAAACAATATGCACATTTGAGGAACTTTGCATTTTTGCTTGAAAATTGACAAGGGATTATTAAAATGTTTGATGATTTTGGATCGTTCACTTTTTGATCATGTTGACTCGACAGGATTGGATTTATGTACAACAGTAAGAGAAAGCAGTTAACTAAACAGCCGACACACGTTCAAACTAGTCATCACGGTGTCAGAGTCTGACTGACCGGATCTGTGCACATCGCCCTGGCGTGAGAGGCGAGAGCGAGGAAGGCGAGGCCGTTGAAGAGCATCCCATTGAAGAGGCTGTAGGCCAGGTTCTTGGCAGGCAGCAGCATGACAAACACCACCACAAACTCGGCGTAGAAGACCAGGAGCCAGGTGATGATGCCGCACACAATGCCACAGCTGTCGCGGATGAACCACATGGTGTCAGAGCCGGTGCGGGGTGGGGGAGGGACGCAGTGCTCGGGCTTCAGGTAGCCAGCTTGCCGTTCAATGTCCCTGTTGCGGTGGGATGGGCTCTTCATCTTACGACACCCGTGGCCCCAGCCACATACTGGGAAGAGTAATGAGACAGATGGAGAGGAGGGGAGGATTGGGGGGGTAAATGAAAGGTAAAAGGGATAATCGGGTAAGGGATTTGAGTATTGTCAATAGAAAAGTGAGGCTGCAACTAACAATTATTACCACAATCATATAATCTGCCGATTAATTTCTCCTTAATCATTTGGTCTATAAAATGTCAGAAAATAGTGACAAGAGCCCAGAAACTTGTTTTACCTGACCAACAATCTAAAATCCAAAACTAAAACATTTCACACCACATTAGACAAAGCAAAATAGTAAATTCTCAGAGATGAGAAGGTAGAAACAGGATGCTTGTCATAAAACTATTAGTAAAGTGTCAAAACAGTAATGATGAGGATTAACTTTCTGTCAAACAACTAAGTGACTATTTGTTTTAGTTTTACATAAGAGACCTGCCCCACAGCAATTAGGAGTTGCTGTAAACATACTAAAGAAAATAAACCACACCCTCAAGGAATAAAAGTTAGACAGCAGTGAATTAGACAGCAAATCAGCAAATGAGGTTTGAGACAATACTCAGGAGGAAGCACCAAGTGAAGGAGGAACAAACACTGACTGGACTAATCACGACAGGCGACATAATCCATCCAGATTCCTCTCACAGCAAAAAAAGAAGAGGCTATTGTTAGATTTAGAGGCTGTATTTCACCATTTGGCCTTAAAAGAGAAACAAAATGCTCAAACAAAAACAGCCAACACTGCTGCACTGGGACTCTGGGTGTGCAGCTCCGTTTGGAGACAAGGGATAAGTATACAGCACGGATAAAGGAATAAGTGAGAGAAATCTGGGAGGCTCTCGGATAAAGTGGATGAAGATGGATATGAATAAGTAACTGAGCAGGTCTCACTGTGTTCAGCAACGATGATGTTACTTCAAAAGGGGCCAAAACGTCATTATTATATGCAGATAACACTGACTGGGATAAAACTGCTGTTTCCCAGTGGATGGCAGGACCTCGGCCTTCTCCACACTAAAACTTGAGTTTATAGTGAGTGTAATCGATCCTGAACAACAGCCTAATCTCACCTCTGTGCCCACATTAATTAGGGGGTTGGCCAATGAGCCTGGCAGTTAAATTCACTTCCCTGAGGACAGGTTTTGAATCAGAATGAAAACAATAAAGCATTCCTACGGCACATTTGTGAACATATTAATCATGTCATCTCTGGATTTCAATGACCATTACAGAGCAGGTCTAACTCACGCACAGAGCCCCGTCCCCATCCAACCATAAGTCTTTTGCCACTCTGTCACTTCCTCTCAGCCTATGAGTTTAATTTTTTACTAGTGGGATCATGCCAACATTCCTACATGTTGGGGTTTATTTCATTGAAACAAGAGAGAATATTTAAACAGGGGGAAAAAAATCATAATAATCCTGAAAAATGACATTATGCTTCAGGTTTTACTTCCTTTTTAGCCATGCAAGTTGCACGGATAGTCTACCATACATTTTTGTACAGACATTCTGATTCCCAGATGCCCAGAGCTTGGGGATCCTCCGTCTTCTCTTCCAGCCCCATCACCAAGTCATATTTTTAATGTGTCCAATACTTTAGCTTATTATCAGATTCTTGCAAAACTTAATGACAGTCCCATCATCCTCAGTTCTGTTTTTTGCAAAAAAAAAAAAAAAAAAAAAAAAAAAAACCTTTAAGGGTGTGATAGGTATTTAGGCTACTTGTCTACATCACTATATGAAAATGTTAGGGTGATTTTCATTTTTAGATAGAAATGAATAATTAGTTAGGGTTTTTATTATATAGCATACATAAGTTTATATATTTTAATCTCACAGTTGTGTTTATGTTTATTTAGTTACATATCTATATATCACCCTATTTGTTTACTGAATCACTGGTCAGTATTTACTGTGTAAATTGATTACAGGTTCTTGGAAAGAAAATCCTTGTTTAACAGGTTTGTCCATCTTGCTGAATGTTAGTAATTGATGCACTATACCACTTTACCACTAGATCTGATTCAGCCCATTTCAAGTAAAACCTGCTCCAGTGATGGGGATGTGATGCTATGCAGACTGATTTTACAACTCATTCCTTTAGAAACAAAGAAGCTAAAGCCCTACAAACAGTGTTTACTGAAACTGCAGAGGACCAACCAAAACAGAAACCTGCAACAATAAAACATTGCGAAAGACCTGGAGTAAAACAAACCGGACACTGTGTTCAATCACAACTGTCAGTTAAGTCAGTGGTTTCTCTGGTGGCAGACTGAAGCATAAGTCTATAATCTATGTCTATATTTCTACAATGAAAACAACTGACTTGACTGTAACAGAAACACTTTACAGAGCAGCTCCTTCTGTAATTATGTCAACCCAAATAAAAGAGACAATGTTAAGAATCAGTGAAATGCCTCTATTGTGATGCCTCTGCAGTGCTATAAGTGTATTTTACTGTACATAAATATAATGCCCATCAACTTTTGTGACACTAGAGGATTAACTACATGGAAAACAAAAAACAACACAAGCAACTTCAAGGTATTGTCCTGGATTCTGGAAAACTCTGGACAAATATATATATTTTTTAACTGTCCTCTGATACTTCATGAAATAACCAATTTTGCTGCCGAAAAATCTGGGCCACAAACTTACACAGCCTCAGTGTATGTACTGTTTAACATTTAACACATTCAATATTCATTCAGTAACGCAAAAGAAACTTAAAACAAACCTGGCAGCTTGACATACAATTTTTGTCAGCATAATACAAAATAAGGTGGAAAACTTCATATGCAGTAAGGAAGGAAACCAAAATATCTGCTGTTGTGCCTTGTTTGAGTCTCTTCTATTGGTCAAGTGAGCTCTGACCTGGCTGAAGGTGGACAAACACAAAAGTAACATCATGTCCATTAGGGCCTGTAGAGTCACTGTGACACTTGAAGGCTATAATGAATGAACTTCCAGAAAGTGCTAAAACAACAAACCCGACCAGGAAGTAACCCTGGTAGCTGCAGTAGGATATCTGGATTTCCAGTAGCTGATGGCTGATAACACAGTCACAGGCTGTATATTATAGCTATGTTACATGTAACTGTTTCATGAGTGACAAGTTTAGTGGGTTTGACAACCTACCTCGCACTCTCCTGACTTGTCGACAAAGGTTTCTTGAAGTCCTCGCGTAGTTTGGAGCCTTGTGAAGTTAAAACGAACCAGACTGAGCCTCCTCCGCCGGTCGGTCTGTTAGCTCACTCAAAGCTAACCTCACTGATCTGTAGACAGCTGTTTTCTGTAGTCCCGCGAATCCACCTCGGTTCCGACGAGGTGTTAATTCAATTATTATTTGCATCCACAGCGGAGGAACAAGCCATGAAACGCCCGGTTGGCTAAACGCTCCAGTAATTTCTTCTGTCACAGCCGGAAAACAGCGGACTCAACCAGGAAGTCCAATACATTCCTGCCTTTGTTGGGCGATCGTACCCCGAGTTTAGTCTATCAGGTAACACTGTCCTCAAGGCTATGCACCATCTTTAATAAAGGTTCAAAGTCATTTAAATACTGGTGGAGCCAAAATCCAGTCTCCATTCAGGAATAACCACTTAGCTTCTCTCTCTAATATACATTATACTGGAGGGTTCTGTTCATGTCATAAATAAATCTGCTATCTCGAGTTTTCTCTCCTATAGACGTTTTGGTTAAAAAAAAACTTTTTGAAAATATTACAGTGGGCCTATATTTTGGGCCTAATTTTGAAAAATTTGGCTAATAGCTTCATTATACCGTGTTTCATAAAAATACTAAACACTATCACTGAACTGGCCTTATCTTAAAAACCTGATGATTCCTTTCTGAAGCATTCGGTCTCCTGTCTCATTACTCTGCAATTTCTCGTAAATATGAGGTATGTAGTTTGAAATTATAAAGTAATTTCTTGTAATTATGAAATAGTAAGCCATAATCATAATTACTTTCTACTCTATAATACAAACCTCTATGTTTATCCCTAATAAGCAACTAACATAAAAATGGGCTGTAAGAGCACAAAAAAGAAACTTGTTTTTAGGTTATGTTTTATTCCGTATCCCTCAGATATTAGTGAGATATTTCAATTTTTAGACTTCACGTCCTGTGTTTGAAGCTTGTTGTACCGCTTGGGCGGATTCTAAGTTCCGAGGGATCGTTTAGAAACCAAGATAATCGGGACATCGGGGTGTGCAAAGCAGGCAATCTTAACCTTATTCGGCGGCTTTTGATGACGTAGAATACGGCGACAGGCACACTTGCTACTGGAATTTTTATATTATGGCAGCAGTACAAGTTAGCGAGGCGGAGAAAGTGTACATTTTACATGGTATACGGGTAAGTTTTTAATTACCTACTTTAGCTCCCGACTCTTGGTTTTTAAAATATTTGGATAGCAATTAAACTACAAGGTCCAATGGCAGAAAACTAACTACGTTAGCACTTGCTAACTATGTTGACATGTCGATTGGTTTCATCAGGATGATTTACGAGTGGATGGAAGAGGTTGTGAGGACTACAGACACATGGAAATAGAGACTGATGTGGTGTCCAACACAGACGGATCAGCCAAAGTCACACTGGTAATAATAATATACAGTATCGGCATCAGAAGCCCCACATTTGTGCACCCACAGTCACCTATCAGCACATTTCAAATAAACATACATCTTCTTGTTAGATATCTTAAACCCGTCTAGTTACTCATATCTCCTTTACCTTGTTCTTGTAAGATTTGAGTCTTATAGACTCTAGTTACTTTATAAGCTTTAGTTACTTCTCATACCTTTAGTTACTTTTCATAAATTTATTTTCCTTGTTTATACATATTACAGCTGTATTGATGATTGTCCAGAACTACTGAGCTGTGGTTATTTTATTACATTTATTTCCCTTGCTTATATATCTTACAACTGTAATGAAGTAAAATCTGCTTACTTTGAATACTGTAACTTCTGTGTTGAGCCAGGATGTCTGCATCTCCTTGTGGCCAGACAGCCTATTTACATTTTAGCAAAGGCCTGTTTTACACTCACACTTCGACCCACTTAGCATATTCCAAGATTCTGCTTTGTTTTAGGGTGCCCTGCGGCGCCAGGGGGCTCACAACCTGAGATGACCACTTGGCCAGTTTAACATACTTAGCATCACACACAGGGGGCCTGCAACCCAGACAACCCATTGTTCTGTGCGCTTGATTAAGACCAAGCTGCCACCTGAGAGACACACACATCCCTAGATTTACCATATTTCAACATGGAAGCGTGAGCTCCGGCTCACACCAAATGACCAATAGGAACACAAACTATTGAAGGTTGCACCTCTGTCCAGGGCGGAGCAGCCCAAGAAGATAAAATGTATTGTAAGAACTTAATTCGGGGTTCAGTAGATGGAACTCCTGCGGGAGCTCTGTCACTCTGATCCCAGTGCTGTAAGGCCTACCTGTGCTCAGACTTTCAGTAAACTTTGTTGATTTTAAACAGTCCTCTCCTGCCTTCACTTCTCGTGCTTCCAACAAAAGAATTGGGTTATTTTCTAACATTCTGTTTTGACTTCCCTCTAGGGTCATACTGCTGTTCTAGTTGGGGTCAAGGCTGAAATTGGAAAACCGAGGCCTGCTGTGCCAAATGAAGGCTATTTGGAGTTCTTTGTTGATTGGTAGGTATGGTGCGTATTGACATGATGCCTTGTGTATTTACAGAGTGGTGCATTTTTTTGTAGATTTGTCTGTCATTCCTGTCTATCATAACGTCTTACTCACCAACTTATTATGGTGTCTCCATTGATATCACAAGATGAGCAGTGACATTTCAAACAAGTGTAGTTTAGCCAAATAATTTTTATTAAGAGTCAAAATTGGAGTCAGTGGATACACTGCCACTAGGAGGTGGTGTTGTATCATCTGCTCCCTGTTAGATGTGCATCTAACACATCCTAGTAATGCCACTCTTTACATTGAAAGTGTTCTATTAAATGTGCAATAGATATGACAGATTGTGCTTTGACTGTTTTACTCAAGACAGAATAAAACCTCTGACTGATAGATACACATTCTGTTACAGCACATGTTTACTGTCTTGTTTTCTCCTTTCATTACTAGTTCAGCAAATGCAACCCCAGAATTTGAGGGCAGAGGAGGCGAGGAGCTGGGAACAGAGCTGAGTAACACCCTTTACAAAGTGTTCAACAACAAACACAGTGTGAACCTGAAGAGCCTTTGTATCAGTGCTGGAGAACATTGCTGGGTTCTCTATGTGGATGTGCTGGTGGGTGTTAGTGCTCACCTTCTTTTACTTTTAGAAACGACAATCCAACATTCAAGCTTGTTTTTTTCCCCATTCTTCACACCGTTGCCTGTGTCACTTTTTGTATGTAGAAACACATCTAGAGAACAGAGAATACTATGATTGCCTTTGAGAAAAGATTGTTTGAATGGTTAATTGCAGCTTAGCTCCTCTCTATGATGGCAGGCTTTTTTTTTTACTCCACCTGTGATTGTGTCCATTTGGAGCAGCTATAAACACTTTTGCTTTCACTGATGTTTAGATGTGACTGTCCAGCTGCTTCCCCATGGGCACGTTTTGTTTTAAGTATGCCCCTACCTTTAGGATTTTTGTTCAGATTGACCAAAGCATTCCTGTGTTTAAGAATAGATCACAACATAGAACTTGGCCCTGTGGTCTTCACAGAGGTAAAATCTCATGCTGATCTTTTTCCACAGCTCCTGCAGTGTGATGGAAACTTGTACGACGCCATCTCAATAGCTGTCAAAGCAGCACTCTTCAACACAAAGCAAGTGTCATACTGGTCTTTGTTTGGGTCTTGATTATTGGGTTGTTTTGAATTGTTATTGTTGAGTGTTGTGATTTCTTACAGCTGTCATATCTTTCAGTTTAATGAATACACTCGTAGACAGCCCTCTAACTTTATTAACAGAATTCCTCAAGTCCATATATCAACTGATGATGAAGGAGGGAAGGAAATTGAGTTGTCAGATGATCCGTACGACTGTATGAGACTTAATGTAGAAAACGTCCCCTGTATAGTGACCATGTGCAAGGTAAGCTCACATGCTGTTATTTAGAATTAAAGAATTATCACCCAAACAGTGAAACATATACCTTCATTGTTTTTCTGCAGGTTGGTCGCAGGCATGTGGTGGATGTGACTCTGCAGGAGAAAGCCTGCTCTGTGGCGAGCCTGATCATCTCTGTCACACACAAGGGCATAGTCACCTGTGTGAGGAAGGTTGGCGGAGGCAGCCTGGATCCAGAGAGCATTTTCGAAATGACAGAGGTGAGATTAGTGCTCATCCTTGGCCACCTGGTCTGCTATCATCACTGCAAATATATTAGCATAAAGAGATGTAGTTTTATTTAGCTGTTACTGGATAATAGCAGTGACAAGTGACCTTGAGCTAACAGCCAGATTATTTGCTCACCAATTTCTATAGTGTTAGAAGAGGTTTTTAAGTTGAAGGTATTGTTTTACTTTCTCATTAAACTTGGTATATAACATGTTGCACTGCGTATATACAGACAAGTGACAAATGAAAGGAAAACCATGAATAAATGAGTGACTTCTTCCAGGATGGCAGTGCCCCCATCCTTAGGGCTTGAGGGGATCTACACTAACTGTCTCCTAGATGTAGCTTCATATTTACTGTACAGGCACGAGTGGTGTCCATCTTCTCATCTAATTCTCCATCAGAAAGCAAATAAGCATATTTTCAAAAATGTGAACTGTACCATTACCTGTTCCTCAGGTCTTTAGGTATCAATTGTATGATAAGTGTGACTGTGATTATATATGAATAAGGCTGTAAAATATGTTGTCATCTCCAGGCAGGTAAACGGGTTGGGAAAGCTCTTCATGCTCCACTCATGACGCTGCTGCAGCAGGAGGAGGATTTGGGAAAGGCACGACAGAAAGTCGGCTTTCTTGGTTAAGATCAACTGCTGTATCTACAGAATATATGTAAATGAATTTTTTTTTTTTTTAATAAAACAATTTTTTACACTCTGTCTTTGTATTCACTGAAATGGATATAAAATCTGAACAATGAATTAATGTGCGTAGCAGTTTAATTTGGCTTTATTAAGATTGACTGTAATTTGACTCAGAACAGAACAACCTGTGTAGAAGAGAGTCCCAGCTATTCCTCTTTGCATTATTATTAAAAATCAAAGGTTTGGTTTAAGGAAGCAAAAAATTTATTTTCATTATCAAATTTATCTACAGATTGTTTTCTTGATTAATCAGTAAATACTTAGAAATATCAGACTGGAAGACAGTGCTGAACTTTCACAACAGCATTTCACAGAAAAAGTGCAGTCTATGTATGTCTGCCTTTGCCACGTGTCAGTCGAGGACTGTTTAGACTCTGTCTTACAGACCGACCAGATGTGGCTGGATCCTTTCCACTCTTCCTTGAGACTGTTGTAGGGTGTGTGCACATACTGACAGCAGACAGATCCAAAACAAACGCCTATTTATGGCTGTGCTCTCACTGCAGAGTTTGAAATGAAAAAAAAAATCTGTAGAGAATGATTTATAAAATAAAACAAATTAAAACTAGTATAATATTGCAGGTATAGTTGTTTTAAATCTACATCAGAGACTTAACAGATTATGATTGAAGTTTTGATTTCAGTGCTGCCAAAAACACCTGAAAATGTTTAAAGTGTTTCCAAATGTGGCCACACCTCTAGACTTCCAAAACAGCTTTTCCATTTATTTTCATTACTTAAGCTCTTTCGTAGCCAAGAAATGTAGCCAAACGATTTAGCCCTTTATGCAACAGATGACTTATTTTTCTTACACTTTGATGAAAGCTAGTTATATTAGAAGCTACGCACTGTTCCACCCTTTCTGCCAGCTTCCACCTGCTCTCCAGACCTGGCTCTGGTTAGCACTGGCTTTTCATGTGAACTATCTGGAGCCAGATGAGATACACACACACACACACCATCCTTTAAGGCTCCTGAGGTCAGATTGTTATTCCTGACAGTCTTGGACTTCAGTGTTTTTCCTAATTCTGAGGGATGAGAGGGAGGGTGTGAAAGAGAGAGAGAGAGGGAGAGAGATAAATTGCAAGTGTCCACGTTGGAGCAGTCTTATTCAACAGGTCTAGCCATGGAGTTCAAAGGACTGTGTGCGATGCTGGGAGTACTCCTACTGGTGAGCTGCTCATTCCAGCAGACTCCACCAAAAAAGAAGCAAGCGAAGAAAGGTAGATGAAAAACATTTGTCACAACACAATGTTTAAAATCAGTTGTTCTTTCATGCACAAATTACCACTAAATTCCCTCCCGATGTTCTTGTGTCCCTGGTGCTGCTGGACTCAGATACAACAAAGGATCCTGCCATTGAGGACCTACAGAAACAGATCAACGACATTAACCAGGAGCTCAACCTACTGAAGGAGCAACAGGCCCTGCAGACAGGTAAAACTGATATAAATAACTCTTCTATGTAAACTTCACCCAAAAGTGCCCCAAAACTAGGATCCGTCTTAATAGATCACCAACAATGGTAGATGGTTAACCAAGTGGCCTTAATTAGGCTAGATTACTGACCAGGTAAAGCAGACGGCTGCATGTCAATCACCTGTGCAAACTATGAGTGATTGCAGTTTTTTCTGTAGAAATATGCACTGCTAACTGGTACAACCCTAACCAAGGTTGGTCCTGGATTACTACCTAATTTTGTGGCCCTGGCATGTAGAGGAGCCCAGTGTCAGTAAACTTCTACTTGAAGTGACTTTGAGCAATACGAACTCCTGCCAGCCTGAGACACGCACTTCTGTAGCTGCCCATTATGATCAGCTATGACAGTGGATAATCAGCCAATAGTACCACACTTATAATGAAGACAAAGAGCAATAGTTAGTCTCAAATCTGTTTGAAGTGGATTGCAATATGAGTCTTTAATGGGGAAGCTTAGTGAATCTGTTGATATTTTGACATGAGGTACATACAGCGCAGTGCACTTTTTATATTCAAATTGGAGTCAGTACTCTGAGGTATGCGCCTCTTAAAAGCAAATAGAATACATGTGTAGTCTTTGAAACAGCATATTTTAATGTGCAGAACACATGACAAACCCTTGTCTGACCTCTTGTTCAGAACACATAATGATATCCAATTGTTTCTACACATCTAAAAATGTTCAGACAGAATAAAAGCACCATGTTCATTGTGCTGTTTATTACTACTGCAGATTTTGTACTTATATCTTCAAAATACCACAGCTGCTTTTAATTTTATAATCAAAATAGAGTCCTCAGTAATACCTGTATTATCTCCAAAAAGAAAAACTAAAGATAACACTGAATCACAGTTTAATTCTAACTAACCATCTTCTCCATTTTATTTCATTTTTCAGTCTGTTTGAAAGGCGTAAAGATCCATAGAAAGTGTTTCTTGGCCGACCCTGTGAGGAAGCGCTATCACACTGCTAGTGAAGACTGTCACGCCCTGGGTGGTGTTCTTGGTACACCAACATCCAGCGATGAGAACAACCAGCTCACAGACTACATCCGCCAGAGCATCGGCCTGGATGAGCAGGTCTGGCTGGGCATCAATGACATGGTTAAAGAGGGCACCTGGACGGACCAGACCGGCCTCAGCATCACATACAAAAACTGGGACATGTCCAATTCTCAGTCCCCTCAGCCAGATGGCGGCCAGTCCCAGAACTGTGCCGTCCTGTCTGAGGCCTCCTATGGGAAGTGGTCTGATGAGAACTGTCGCGAGGAGAAGCCCTCTGTCTGCCAGTTCAACATTGTTTGATCACATTTATCTCAGACTCTGCGCATGGCTGTAGTCGCTTTGTGTGTGTACTCTTGCTGTAGTGCCACTTTGCCTACTATTCTAAAAGGAGTTGTTACTCCAGTGGTTCTCAGCTGGCTTTGCATCGGGACCCTCTTCAGATCTAGAAGTTCACATTCAGTTGCAGGAAACAGCGATAAATGAGCTTGTTATAGTAAACCAAAGTGAGCTGGTGATATGTAGTCTCCTATAATATCTGGCCTGATGTAACCTGAAAATGACCATCAATAAACTATGAAAACCTCTAATGTCACTGCTTAAAGGAAACACGTTGAGATAAACAATGTGGTAGTTGATTGCCATCAACCTTATCTGTATGTGAAAAATTAAGCTACAGCCAGTAGGCATAGATTAGTTCAAAGGCTGGAAACAGTAAGAACATATACACAAGTAAAACATGTGCAAAATGAGTGAAAATTCATAAAACATTGGTAAAAACAGACAAAACAACCAGAAATACACAAACCGCGTACATGCTCATGTGTTGCTCCTAGATATGCAGGAGAGGTACAGCAGGGGCCTCATACATGTCTCTGCCCAGGGCCCCATTGCCTCACAATCTGTCTGCGGCTCTGTTTGAAAATATGGTGGAAACGGCAAAAATAACAGTTAGCTGTTTTAGTTCTATAAGTCTCTGCAGGCTGTAGGTCATATTCTGTATCTAGTGTGAAAACAGGGGGCGCTGTTGCATGGATATTACTTTGTATAAGTGTTATTCAATCTTTAAAGTAGTTGAAAGAAGGACCAGGTACCTGACTGTATGTAGATGCTACATATTTTTGTTCTATTTTCTGGTACATTAAGCTCACAAGTTCTGACACAGGTTTTCAAATGTGAACCTGCTGGACCTCTGTTGACCTGGACCCGATTTAAAAAAACAAACAAACAAACAAACAAACAAAACAACTGCATCCAGTAATGATCAAGTAGCACCTCTAGACAGAGCCAAACTATTTGTTTCCCAGCATTTACTCTCTAAGGGCAAAGCTAAGTTTGCCATGTAGTGCCCCAGTTGCTGGCTGTAGTTCATATTTACCATACTGATAAAATCAGAATCTGAATAAGAACAAGCTTTTATTGTCCAGGTGTGTTTGACACACAAGGAATTTGACTCCGGTACAGTGGCTCTCAGTGTGCATGTATGAGTGGTATCCATCTGCTCAATTAACACTCAGCAAGTAAGCAAATAGGTGTATTCACCAAAATGTTGCTCCCTAAAGTCCAAAGTCTCAAACCTTTAAGATTAAAGCAGAAATGCAGAATTGAAATTTGTGAGGCTTGGAGCTACAAGAAATGTGATTCTGCATTCTTCTGCATTTGTTGTTTCCAGTAACACACACTTCTCCATGGTAAACACTGGCCGCTGCGCTGAAGTCTTCCACACCCTCCTTCAAACTGTTTTTCTTGGCTGGAGTTCCTGTGGTTGAAATTGTTTTAACCATCCAGAATACAAAAGGTCAGTGTTCCAGCAGGAGATGGAAACTCAAATGTCACTGCTTAAGTGTGTGATGGCATGAAGTAAACTGTTCCCTCATCAAACCATTTTCCTACATGTTATTGCTAAAAAAAAATAACTCAATTGTACTTACAGGTAAGGAGAAACATATTTTAATAAAAAAAACTAGTTAAAAATATAAAAACATTTTAAAAACAAGGACCAGCTCCTGAATCCATGCAACGTGGCAGAAATTTCATAACATTAAACAAAGTGTTAAAGGAATAGTTCAATGTTTTCAGAAATATACTTTGCTTTCTTTTTGACCAGGAGTAAAGAAGACTGATATCATGGATATCATGCCTGTACAGTAAATACAACACTACAGACAACAGGCAGTTATATCAGCTTACCATGAAGCTCAGAAACAGGGAACAACTAGTGTCTGTCAAAAGGTAAAAAAAAATAAAATAAAATAGAAACTTCATGTACCAGCACATCTAAAGCTCACTAATGGACATGTTATGTTGTTTGTTAATTACATACAAAAACCCACACATAATACATGAAAATTTTAAAACAAGTTATCTTGTGCAGTGACTCCAAGAAGTCACTGCACAGATTGCACAAGCAGGATAAAACATGTCCATTCGGTAGCTGGCAGCGGTATGTGGTTATGATAGCTGTCGCCCCCTGTTCCAGTATCGGTAAGCTAACTGCTGCTGGCTGTGGCTTCACATTTAGTGTACGGACAGGAAAGTGGAATCGAACTTCTTCTCCAACTCTTAGCAAGACACTGAAAAATTATCCAAAAATTTCAAACTGCTGCTTTAAAGAAGAGGCTTACAGCTTCTGCTGTTGAAGTCTAAGCCAACACCACATCTGAAGTTAGTGAAACTCAGATTCCCTGAGTGCAATCGAGGCACAGAAGTTCACATCAGTGCAGTCAAGAGATACCCGGTGCTATACTGAGAATTAAGTAACAGTGCCCATCGTGCGGCTACAGTCCCAGCACACTACAAGGACTCCTCTGTTATCGGCGGCTGTGGCTCCAAGTTAAAACTGGACAGCTGGATTGTGTTTATCTCCCCAGTGCTTTTGAATGTGTACAATTCATTGTCCACCATCCTGCTGTCCTGGAAGCCAAGGCTGTCCTGCCGCTCGATGGGAGTGCGCGGACGGGACGGGATAAAAGTGTCAGAAGGGTCCAGAAACATCCTGTACTGGTCCATCTCCGGCTCTGCATTCGTTTCGTCGACTGCAGGCAGCTTAGTGGGGCCAGTGAATGTTTGATACGAGTCCACCTGTATACCTCTGTTGAGGTCCTGCATGCCGTCGGTGTAGCCAGAGTCAACCAGCAGGTGGCTATACACCATTGTCTCATCTACGGACGTGTAGATGTGGGAGTCATTGTCAGATTGGGTTTTGATGAAGTGCCTGTCGCTCGGGCGGAAGATATCCCCTTTGCTGATGAACATGGACTCCTTGCTCATCTTTTGTTTCTTTTTCCTGTTTGACAAAAAAAATTAAGGCAGACCATAAACAATGAGTCAACAAAAGCAGCCAGCTGAACATCAGTCTTACAGAAAGTTATAATACATTTTTTTTACTCCTCACTGGATCATTTATGTTTCAGCCTCTTAGTTTTCCTATTTCTATGCCTCCATGATAGCCGTGGCTGGAGGCATTATGTTTTCGAATTGCCCATATGTCCCATTCTTGTGAACGCAATATCTCAGGAACACCTTCAAGGACTTTCTTCAAATTTGGCACAAGTTTCTGCTTGGATGCAAAGATGAACTGATCAGATTTTGGTGGTCAAAGGTCAAGATGAGTGACCTCACTTGTGTCCCGTACCCGTGTGTTTCACTGGCTGGCAGAGGCATACGACCACAAAGCTGTAATTCTATTTTGTTTTATAATATTCAACTAATGTTATTATTCATTTGTGTAACTAGCTTTCATTTTTAGGTTTGTAGGTAGAGAGAGAAATGAAGGATTTGGTAAAGGAAAAAAAAAAAAAAAATCGCTTTTACTGGTTTGATAAATCCCTTCCTCATATGTTAAGAGAGTTTTGCCACAAGTATACTCACCTTCTGATGAAGCATACTACACCCAGCACTATCAGCAAAAGCAAAATAGCTCCTAGAATCCCAAGGATCATGGGCAACGGAACTGTAGAGTAAAAAAGAAAACACAGCAGAATTAAGTTTTTATAGCAAGGACTTTTTTATTTCTGTGTGTGTGTGTGTGTGTGTGTGTGTGTGTGTGTGTGTGAGAGAGAGAGAGAAAGGCCTAGAGGAGTGCTTCTTACTGAATGTCTTCTGCAGGACGACTTTAGTCACTACACCAAACTGTCCCTCGTCTGGTAAACAGTTGGACATGTTGAGATAGAAACTCTGTGGGACCACTAACTTGTCCACCATCTGCTCATCCTCCCTGCGGCTGATCATCTCCTCCCCGGACCCCAACATCTTCACACTGATGTCCGTGTGGTACTCGCCGCACTTGGGCTGGCTGACGTTGACAAACTGTATTTCTGCCTGGTACTGGCTTGGAAGAGAGACGATCCAGGACACGGTGGTCAAAGGCCGCATTCCCTGAGGCCAACTGGGGGTGGCCAGGAGGTTTGGAGATGCTTCCATAGGACTGACTGTGTAAATAATGGTCTCTGAAAAGGGAGGGAAACAATGCTTAGTCCCAGTACTGTATCCTGTGTAAGAGTAATCTCTGCTGGTCATAAATGTAAAAGGTGTCTCCCCCATTTGTGGTCCAATAGTGCCCCTGTGTGGAATTTAAAATTATAGTGCATATATTTCACTTGGCCATAGTACAACGATGATACTGCAGCTTGACAATTTTATTTTCATTATTGATTAATCTGTTGTTTATATATTTATATATATATTTGTAATGATGTAAATGAAAAACACATTCATATGAAAATGCCTCATTGGGCTCTATTTACTGATAAAACGATTCACTGAATCTTTATCTGCAGTCTCACATATTGATGTTTTACCTGTGATGTGCTGACTGAAGCTGGCATTGAGAAAAGGCCCACTGGTCTTGCTGAAGTCGCGAGCTGTAGCTGTGACAGAGACGTTGGTATGCACCTGAACTTTCTGGATGATTCCATTAAAGCAGAAGTCTCCGAGAGAAACTCCATCTTCCTCTGCCACATTCAGTGAGACATCCTGGTTACACTCCTGACCAGGCAGAGACTGTTGGAAGCTACCCGTGGGCGACATCAGATCCACTGTGATGTCCTCAGGGACACTGAAGTGCCAAGTGAAGCTACTTAGGGACATCGGGAGACAAGAATCCAGTTGGGGCACAGTGAGGAGAGTCATAGAGCATGACGCCACATTTTGGCACCCTGTTATTAAAAAGGTACAAAATAAGATCACATGATACAGCAAACACAAAGATATAATTTCTAACAAAAAGTTTTTTGGACTTACAGGGATATTTGGAAATATGCTTATTTACTTACTTGCCAAGAGTTAAATAAGAAGATTGATACCACTGTCTGGTAAATATGTAGCTGGAACCAACAGCTGCTAGCTTAGCACAAAGACCAAAAACAAGGGAAAGCAGCTAGCTAGGTCTGTCTAAACAGAAGTTATATAGGCTACCATACAGAATCTAACTCATTAATCTAAGTCTTGGCAAGAAAGCTATTAAACAGATTTCCAAAAATATCAAACTCTTACTGATAGATATTAGCTCCAAAAGCAACTCTTCAGTTTAAAACATTATAGCATTTGTGTTTATTTTTTTTGCTATTCATAAATATTAAAAAAATAAAAATTATCATCGTACCAATAACTTCACTGGCAGTCAGCTGCACTTCTTCATTTCGACAGTCAAGGAAGGAGAGGCTGGCCTTTGTGCCTGCAGATACGTTTATCTTCTCCGAAACCTTGGAGTTAATGCTCATCTCACAAAAGGGATCAGAGACCACTTTCTGTATCTGCAGGGACACTCCTTGCCATTTGGTTAGATCCACCGTGCACAGGACTGAAAAGGAAATACAACACAGAGGGACAAATTTAGTTTTCATCTTGACTTGTGCTTTTATTGTGGCAATTCATCATAGGTCTTGCAAAACCAAACTATGTACTTTTTTCATCTCATTTCTGTTTATAACACATGTACAGTCAAACGTTTGGACATACTTTCCCACTGAAGTGAATGGGAAATTGTGTCCCAGTTTTTGACCAGTATGTGTCATGTGCCATTATAATTTGCATACTGGTGTAAAATGCAGTTCTGCTGTGTGAAGTATATAAAACTGTGACTGTATTTTCCAGTTGAGTTGTCAGAAAATAACACATATCCTTGTCCTTTTTGTAAAACAAGCAAATTATTAACATAATATTTTTGTACTAAAATATATATAAAAACACTGAAAGTAAGTATGATCTCTTGTTTTGTCAAAGTTCAACAGGTAATTATTTTTCAGAAAATACTGAAAAGTAATGAGACAAGAAATGCACAACCCTCTGCATTTACTCTTAACAAGCTTACAAATTCTCCTTGGATCTGTTCATTACAACAAAGGATTGTGATGTTGCACAAAAGCATTACTTTCTCATTAAAACAATTCTATCATTCAGGTAGCTTGATTTTTAACCCTGTACCTGGGTGACCGCTCCTCATCACAGAGACTGTGTACTTCAAAGTGAGTCCCTGGTGTGTTTTGTTGGTTTCACAGTTTTTCAGCACCATGCTGAAGTTGCCCTGCTGATGCTCCGGCTGACGATCCGTCAGGGTCAATTTGGTCACCTTCTTGTCCTCTTTCTGGTATGCCACCTCCACTGCATTGTGGAGGCACACTGGAGCTGTTTGTTCACGAAAACGCATTGTATAGTTGTGCATGACTGGCACTGTGAAGTCCCACTGCATCTGCTGGTTGTCAGGAAAATCATCAGGATAGTTGGCTATGAAGAAATCTGTGTCTGATAAACCTCGTGGTAGGTTGACTTTCACTATGGCCAACACTTGAGAGAGACAAGGAGAGAAAACTGTGGTTAGAAACATGCAAAGGAAATCGCCTTTCTCTCTGCAAATAAACCTGAAGTATATCAAATTTAGTTAGAACTGATATTTACCTTTTGGTTTTGTGCATGTGTTACAGGAAGATGTCTTGTTATACATTATGTATGATGCTTGATATAAAGTGGTGTCTTCCAATCCGGTGTGGGATGGACCAAATGTTTGACAACACAGAAATCAGTAGCAACTTACTGCTAGTCTCAGGCCCAACATCCAGTTTGAAGTCGACAGGGTCCAGCTTCCTGTTTGCAGGCACCAGCAGAGACACACGGCCCTTGTAGCGAGCCAGGATGGTGGTCACAGGTCCTCCTTTACAAAAGGTACCGATGACTCCAGGCCCAGTGCGCAGATAGGTAATAACAGAGTATGTGTGCTCATTTGGACAGGTCTTCTCTTTGGGGATCTGTTGCATTCCAGTTTCTGGGAAGTCTAGTTGGAAGGTCCGAGTGGAGACAACTTTGAGGTCCCAAGTAAAAGTCCGGTTGAAGTCTGGGAACAGTGTGGACTCAGCCTGAACAATGTTACCAGAGCAAGAGGTTGCTGTGCAGTCTGGAGTTTATAGAAAAAGAAGAATGTTTTAAAGATGGCGATTTAGTTTGTGTGGACAAAGATCCAAACAAAGGCATCACTGAAGCATGAAAATGAGTTAAAAGAATGAAATCATTTACTGTCAGTTATATGTTTCCTTTTTTTTGGCAAAAATGTACTTTACACGTTTTGTCTTTTTAAATAAATCCTAATTACCTGAATGTTACTGGCTTTGGTTGTATGAAAGTCATCTGAACACACTCAACTCTTTGGACTGGTTCAGAATAAAATTAAAAACACTAAGGTATATTACAGACTGGTATTTTTCTGCATTATTATTTTACTTTTTTAATTAAATGTTGCATCAGATCTTGGGCTTGAGCCTTTAACCGTCACTAGTATTATCGAATTTGCTGTTAGACATGACATCAAACATCATAAATGCACAAAAAAAATAAACTTTACCAGTCAGCACAAAGTATGTGAGAATCCTGAAGAAACATGTTTTTGAAAAACATCAGTAACAAATTCCTGTGTATAGATCTTCATACCAATTTGCCTGTTGATCTCCACACTGAAAATATCCTGAGGTCGAGGACAGGTAAACTCTACCAAGGTGCTACGAGGATCAGTAATTTTCAGAGATTTCGAGTTGCATTTCTGATTGGGGGGCGCGTTCACACACACACTGCAGTCTGGCACACTGGTCACCCTGCTGATGATAACGATGGTGTTGGGGTCGGGGGTCACAGACATCGTTCTGCCACCTAAAGAGAAATGGGCACAGTACTGTGATTCATATATTTTTGTGGATGTGGCATGTTGCCAAATCTTTTACAGCCCCAAACTTTTATACCAGTGCCACCATGTGATTCATATTTTTGACATTTAGTTTAATATCTCAACAACTGTTTCATGTTGCCCTCAGATGTATTAACTTTGGGAAACCCTTTACTTTTCACCTAGCACCACCAAAAGGTCAAAATTTGTTGCTTATGATGAAATACCTATAAATCTAATTCCACTCAGCCTCAGCTGTACTTTGTGTTTAGTGCTAATTAGAAAACGTTAGCATGCAAACACATTAAACCATACAGTCTATGTGCTTAATTAAACGATTGTGTATACATTACTCCTATTACACATTTTAGCACTGTCAGTGTAAGCATGTTAGCATGCTGATATTAGCCACTGTGTATGTAGAAGTTAGCATTTAGCTCAATGCTACTTGTAAGTATGGCCTCACTGACCTGCTAGTATTGCTGTAGACTTGTAGCAGCTGGTGTAATTCTACACCCTAATAGACCAACTGCACTGTGCTGTTTTTGTGGTCTGTACATGACCTTTACACATTTTATTTTTTATTTAAAAGGTGCTATTATTTTACATTTACAACAGATGAAAATTAACCTTCTAGCTACACTAACTCTAATTTCTTTTCTGTGAATCAGTGAATGTCTGCCAAATAAAACTAATAACTAAAACTAGACCAGTCATTAAATTTGTTTAATTGGCCCAGGTGATTTATTAATGATGCATCTTTGTGTTATTCTAATGGATAAAGCATTGGTTTTTAGTTATATTTCTTTAACAATGTAATTTTTACAATAGTAAGAGAAATGTTTTGTTTGATAAAATGATTTTTTTCCCCTGAAAAATGGTCTGAACAAAGTGAAGGAACAGTTGCTTGCCTCTTGGTGCTGCTCTGACACCGAATGCTGTCAGGTCTCCTCCTCTGGGTACTTCAACAGTCACAGCTGTCGCTCCAAGAAAATCCAGATCAGACACTGTCCCACTCTTGCAGTACCTGTTAGTTCTGATGTTTCTGTCACTTTTAGTTGTACTCACTGAGTACTGATAGCCATCTTGGCAATTTTCTGCTCCAGAAATCTCCTTCAGTCCATTGTCAGGAAAGTCCAAACTTAATACCGTTTTCTCTGGGACACTAATGTGCCATATTAAGGATCTATTGAAGTCCTTGAAGAGGTTGGGATCAGCTTCTCCTGCAGAAGGGGTGCAGGAGCTTGTGGTGCACTCTGGAGGAATAAAGTAATAAATATTCTTAAATAGTTTATGTATTACTATATTCATGTTATTTAGATTTCTGTATTTACTTGTTCATCTCTTTCTGGATTTATTTTGACCATTATTTAAGTATTCATTTACCGACGAAACAGGTTGTTTTTTGTCTTCCATACATGAGGACTTAATACATAGTCTATCCAAAAATGTTAATCCCAAATTCTGCTTGTAAATAAATAAAATTTTGTCATGTGGTTTCCATACTTCTCACCTATTTTCTTCCTTATCTTCACACGGTACATGTCCTGAGGGTTTTGGCAGCTGAACTCCAGTGAGAGTTTTTCAACGTTGGTCAGTGTCTTTTCTGTTGGACTACAATTAGGAGTGGGGCCGTCAACAGAGCACACGTCGCACGCTGGTTCCACAGGGTCCCGGCTAACAACTACAGTCGTGCTGGAATCAATGGTTATAACCATGGTTCGGCCCTCTAAGGAGAGAGAGTAACATATGCCAGGATACACCAAATATTCATAAATCAATGTGTAAAGTCCTCCCTATGGTTTTAGTTAGTAGCAAGTTTAAAATGTATTATGTAATAAATCAGGATGCAACAGTAAAACTTAACTAAACTAAAGAAAACATAAAAATAAAGAAAAATGCCTTGTTTACTTTCTAGCTTAGCTTAGCACAAAGACTGGAAACGGGGAACAGCTAGTCTGTCTTTGTACACTTGAGGCTCTTGGAAAAGTCATTAAATTTACAAGAAACTAAATTATAAAGGTCAGTATGGAAAGTTTCCAGACCCTTTCAAATTTTCCACATTTTATTTTTCAGAATCATCTTAAAATGGATTCATTTTTTTCCATCAGTCAGCACGCACAAAGGTTAGAAACAAGCTAACTCTTGTTGCTGATTTTTGTGTTAAGCAATAATAAGCTACCTGGCTCCAGGCAGTAGATTCATATTTAGCATACAGACAGTTCTCATCAAATCAAACTCAATAGTGTTACTAAAGGTTTTCTTAGATACGATGGGTGTGTAGTCAGTAATTCTTTCTTACTTAAAGGTCCAGCGGAGACCTGAAACAACACAGATTCCACCTGAGCCTTTGGATTGACTTGCAGAGACATAACAGCTTCATTGAGCAGGTCTAGACGAGTCACAGATCCACCTCGACAGTACCGAGTTTGGTCCTTGCTATTTGCTTTGGACGTGGCCACCGAAAACTGAAATCCATTAGTGCATGGTTGTGACGTCTCCATCAGTCCATCCCCAAGGATGTTCACACTCACAGCTGTCTTCTCAGGTGCCTTAAACTCCCAGGTGAAGGTTCTGGCAAACTCTGTGAGGATGGATGGCTGAATTTCTACTGTTGTAGGGCTGCAGGTGTCCTTAGTGCACTCTGGAACACAAGACAGGATAAAAATACACAGACTGGTTTAAAATTTTAGGTTCTGCTGCATAAGGTGCTCATCTACTTTAAATTTCACTTGTATTATGTGGCATTCATGTGGACGGCAAAGAAAGAATTTCATTGTATAGGGAAACGTGTTTCCTAACTGTGCATATGACAAATAAACACTTTGACCTTAATCAATTATTCATGATTTGATGTGAATAAAACGGATTTAACCTAAACATTATTAGGACTAAATTAATTGTAACCCCTCAACAAGGTACACTGTATCTGAAGCACCGTGGACTGAAATTTGACTAGAAGGAATTGTGAGGTTCTCTTTGTGATCTCAGGGTAGCTACCACAAAGTTTGATCTGTTAAAGTGAAATTATTACACCTGCTCACAGAAACAACTAAGCATAATATAATAATTTCTTCTATAAACTGTCAGAAAGGACTGACACGTGTACATCAGTTTCTTGGACTCAAAGGTGACAAAACAAAACACGACATGAAATGTCGTGTTTTGTTTAACAGTCTGAAACTTAGAGAAAATAAGTTTACTGCAATAGAAAACAGAGAAAACACAACATCTTGCCATCTAAAGAGCCTTATATAATGTGACATGATGTATCTGTGAAGCAGACGTTCATCTCAGAACTCACCAATGGTACGAGTTACTATGACAGTGTAAGCCTGGTCAAGGGGCTGGGAGCATTTGAACAGCAATGTGACCTCCTTTTCAGGTACCAGAGAAAGAGAGGAGTGACAGGAAGTCTGCGTGTCATTCACCCCACTGACTGTGCACACAGCACACTGATCCATAGGAAGCCCAGTGGACACCGTCACATTCGAGCCTCGGTCTGGTCGGACCTTCATCTGTAGGCATTCTGAGGAAACAGATCAGGGCGAGTTAGGTGCAAATAACTTAAAGATGCTACAAACTGATTATTATTGCCAGTGTTTCAAGTGCACTTCAGCTGCTTGAGAGCATGCTTGGACAGATTTCCATATCTGAGCTTGAATATCTGGATACTTCACAAACACACACTCTTACAAGCAACGACACTCGTCTTCATAAAAACAGGGTTCACATAAGCTGTACGCTATAGGGCTAAGGCATCACTTCAACACATCAGCAATATAAAGGACACAAAAGGAACCAAACACACAAACATGGCCAGACAATTTGCTCTTAACACTAGAATAAATGGTGGTTCCAGGCACACCTACTGTATTCCCCTATTTCATGGTGTCAAACCAAAGCAACTGTATTGACTTCTCAATACTGAGTCATTTGGAGACTGAGTAAGGAGAGGAAATGAAGGCAAACCAGTTTTAAAAAGCACGGGTAACAGTAACAGCTGCTTCTGCATGACATCATGTGGCTTTATTTTTTTATAACCTCAACTGAAATGGTTATCAAAATTTACAGCATTGCTTTCATATTTATCCCTGTTTTGGTTCCAGATGTGGTTTTAGTGCAGCTAAAACATGGGTGTTTTCTATTTGAAAACTTTCAGAGTAGAGCTAGACCCATACACCAACCAGTATTATATCAGTATCTTAAAAGAGAGAAATTTCACATATGTTAAATCAGGTTTTAGGTTAATCAGGGACACTGTTCCCATTATGCAGTTTGTCAAACAGAGACATTTTTCAGCTGTACATTTTCATGTTGTTTCTGCTGGAACACCATTAGGAATAAACTTATATATCAGAGAAATGTAATTCTAAATAATACATTTTATTTTGTTTTGCTCTATAAAGAAATAGAACATTTGATGATAAGCAAATTATATAAAAAAGCCATATATGCACAAAAAGCCACACCCAGATGTGCATATGCACTATGGATACATACATGCACAAATGCAAACATACATCCACAGACAAATATTTACTGTTGTTCTTTCCACTAATCTTCCAGTGTTATACACTTCTTCTTATTTAATTTTTATTCATTATAACCTATGTAACTTGTCCTATACTGTATATAGTGTATTTAGTCGCTGTAACTCACCAATTAATAGGATGAATGTGCTTCTGAAAGGCCACTCCACTTGGTCACATAATCTCTGATTCTGAATGAGATGGTTCCCATGGAGCCCACAAAAACCCCTGACTTACCACTACCTCTCTGCATAACTAAAGCTCTACAGGTCCATAATTAGCAAATCTTCTAGTATATCCAGTTTAAGATTTAAGGATTTGTGACACCTTCTTCCAATAAGTCTGAGCTAAAGGGCATCTGTATAAATCATAATTCCATTAAAACTGAGGCTACATTCACAATGGTGGCAGTCACGAATGAAAACACTGTAATGTTTTTAAACCATGTGTCTACACACATAAAATCAAGCCAGGAATTCACAATCTGAACTTATAAAGACTTGAAAACAACACAGAAAACTACTGGAGCATTTACATGTTAAATGTGGGCTAGAGGGTTTCTTATGATAGTAAACGATGGGTTTTCCAGATGACAGTGTTCAAAGACTCATATCTTGTGAGAAATAAAATTGTTATATAATAATTCCCACAATCACGGTAAAGGATAATAAATACCATGGTGCTGATGGCTTCTACCCTAAAATTGAATCAAGTTAATGGGGAAGAAAGTAGCTGAGTTTAAAACGGCACAAAATATAATGGCTCAGCAGCAGATTGCTGGTCAATCATTAATGAAACTATGATGAATTCATGCCTCCAGGAAGGTCCATAAATGCCTCATAAAACTTTTGAAATGGAGGAATAGAAGTCAGGACTGAGGGTTAGGTTACTCCACTCAGACTACAAATGTTCTTTAGCCCTTCATCTCCACTGTCCAGTCAATCAGTCATATGCAATGTTCCCTAGATGTCCTCTATTATCTTCTAATTTATTGACATAGGACTGTAAGCACATCGCAGTTTAGTGTTTTACAGGGCTTCCCTTTTGCATTAGGTCGCCCATTAGCACGTTGTTTGCCACAATGAACAGCATACATTTATCACCGCTGTCTGTTTAACCCAATTGGCACAGACTTTAGATGAACCACAAGACGTTTTGTGCACTGTTTGAATGTGAAGCCAACTGAAAACAAAAAGCAATAAGAAACTGTGTAAACAAAGTTTTAACAAACATTTAAATTTGCACACTTAATCCTGAAAGAAATCCTGTATTCTCACCTGATAAGTCGAAGACTGACAAAAACAAAAGTCCAAAGAGCGCGCAGGTCGCGCAGAGCCTCATGTTCACTAATAAATACCGGACTTCCTGCTTTAAAACATTTAAAAGCTTTTAAAAAGGTGAACTGTTAAAAGCTGCTCGTTTATCTCTCAAATATACAACTGCATATTCATTCACGTTACAGCAGCAGCGATGTCGATGACAGCCACTTCCTGCTCCACATTACCTGTGCGCAACAGGATGGCTGAGGGCGTGGTCCACACTGTTACCTGTCCAAACCTGACGAGTGAGAACGTTCACGTCTTTCCGTAGTGTCCTTGATCCGAAACACAGCAGAGATAAAAATCCTACACTACGGAATCCTACTCAGACACGACTCCTTATGTGACTCCTCTGACTGTGTAGCACAATGGGTGCCCTATTTATAAAGCCTCGAACATGCCAAGAATTGCTGGCACTGCGCTGTGTATCCCGAAAATGAGGCAGACGAAGGGTGTGGAACTCAAATTAGATATTGGCTCGTATTATATGTCACTAACAAACTGATATGTGTTTATCCAATAATTATTTGTTCCTTGATATAACTGCATTGGGAATGATATAAATATAAAGATCAGGAATTAAGAAAAATAAATCCAGTCTGAACCTAAAACTGATTTACAGTCTTTAGAGCAATACTACTATCAGCTCAAATACATAACATGTTCAAAACTAGTTGTGCCTATTCAGCTGAACTGATGGTGTGAACATGTGTTTATATGGCTGATACCTGTGACTGACACTCCCATGTTGCAGAGGCTCCTGCCTCCACACGCCTCATGACGCATTCCTCCAGCGAAAAATACCTGACTCACTTGCAAATACTTATTTGTGTTTCATTTTTGAAGGTACTTAGTTAATCACCTGATTTAGCCTTACATTAATCCAGAATGCCTAAAATTAGCCATTAACATATCACCAAGCCCAACTAAAGCCTCGGTTTTAACCCCTCTAGCCTAATTCAAATATTTCAAATTCCCAAACATAATCATAAACAAAAAGGGAGTGTAAAATTGTTTTCAAAAGGCTGTAATTTCTTCTAGTCTCTCTGTCCCTCTGAGAGCACTTTGATCCTCAAAACACAAATACTCACTAATAAAACATAAGCTGCACTAATTTTTGTCGAACCAGTCTGACAGCATGTGGAGTCTGTGTTAACAAGGAACCTCAGTGAAGGATCAGCAGCTGTCAGACTCCCCCTCCCCTCCCATGTTACTGTAGATCCCGGACAGCAGAACATCTGCTGCAGAGGGCCTTGAGTTTGCAGGTTTTCATACCAGTGACCAGTTTCATAGTCAGTGTCTCCTTTTCATCAAGTTAATAAAGTTTTTCTTTAACAGATAAAGCACTTTGAGCTCTGGTTATTATATGCCAATACTGGACATGCCTTAGACTGAGTAATATGTCAAAATTTGTTTATTTGTATATGGTTGGTGACTGAGAAGACTGAATTGGAAAGTTCAGAGATTAGGAAAAACGTCATCATCAAAAGCACTAAAGTAAATACTTTAAACTCTTGTCATTGCCTTTTGTGTCTTCTTCCTGTTTTTCTTCTCTTTTTTAAGTGAGCAGCTGGTGTAAATAAAACTCAGAGATACAAATATAGTGCCAGTGAAAAAGAACAAATAAAAGGTCAAATGTAAAAAGTTATAGATGAATTTAAACAAGAAAAACACAGTTTTTTTTTATTAATAAGACACTGAACTGACGGGTTACATCATCCCTGCTCACTTGGCACTGCGAGAAGGAGGCACACCATTTGTTTGACTGTTATTTGGGTGGGTCTGATTCTAGGTCATTGGTTAAAATCTTAAAAAGTTCAAACAGTCCACATGAGGGCAGCAGCACAAGCTGAATGAGCAGCATAGTGTTTTAATGTTCATATGTTTTTTATGATTTATGGGTGAAGAGGTTTCAGGTGTCCTGTTCAGTGTTTTGTACATGCATGCATATATATAGCTGGTAAATTTAGTGGTAATCCTCTAGCACCTTGCTTCTTTATTTTTTTAAATTTACTGACATGCAAACACGTCCATATGTGGCGGAAGCAGGACGCAGATTTTGGTTAGTGGTTGAGGTGCAGCGCTCTCGTCGCTGCGACCCGGGTTCGAAACTGGGTTGAGTCAGGAAGAGTATCCGGCGTTAAACGCGTGTTAAATGTCAACATGTCAGTTGTCATTGTGGCGACCCCTCAGAAAACGGGAAAAGCCGAAAATGACTCTCTTTACTGTTCCACCATGCCGCAATTAGCAAATATGTTTATCAAATAAATAGTGGAGTTAAAGGTACAATACTTCCTTCTAAAAGGTGATGAAGATGAAGTGTCAGAAAATTAAAATACCCTCCTCAAAGTACATATTCCGCACAACTGTACAGTATTTGAGTAAATGTTACTTTCGATTCCGCACAACTGTACAGTATTTGAGAAAATGTTACTTTCCACCACTGCAGAGAAAGGTCACTTGCAGCTTAGAGCACAGAGGTGCTTCCCCGCTTGTTGTTCCGCAAAACAGCGACACGGTGCGAGAATAATTGGTGCAAACACAAGCCCCCTCCCGGAAGAAACCACTGTGGAAGTTGCCAAATGAAGTTGGACGCTGTTTGAAATGGCGTCAGTCACAGTCCGAGGGTGGGCTCTCTGTACCGTGTCTCTGCTAAACTTTGCGTTTGTATTCGTATCCGGTGTGGACTTCATTCGGTTTATATCATTTCGAGCAATATACCATAACATCACCGGAGAGACTACACTCTGCCAAGGTAAGTCTCCGCAAAATCTGCTGGTTTACGATGTGGAAACGTTAGCCAGTGTGACTGTGCTTGAATTGTTGTTACTGTATGCTTTAATTTGTCTTGTAACATAAATGAAACAGTTTACAACAATAAAACATAATAAGTCAACTAGTTAAACAAACGCCATTAGTTCACACTTGATATTGAGACCACTAAAACTCTGCATCACAGCCCGGCTAGCTCAGTCGGTAGAGCATGAGACTCTTAATCTCAGGGTCGTGGGTTCGAGCCCCACGTTGGGCGCACAACATTTTTGTTCCACGGGGACAACATGCATGGTGATGCATATTGATGACGATGCATGGTGGAGTAAAAATTAACAGTGCCAATACTTCATATGGTACTGTTACTGTTATCAGTAAGCTCTTTCTGTTTGATGAAAATATTGGCTATCATTAGATACTGTGATTTACACACACTTCGTTTATACATGTTGCATACAGTAGATTTATAAGAAATTATATACATGTTTTAGCATACTACAAAATGGAAAACCTGACCTTTTGTTGGGGGCCAGATATTTTTGTTGGAGAGCCTACATTGTGTTGAAGTCTGTTCCCCTGTCTTTCCCCTTATCAAAGTCTGATGCACAACCAACCAGTAGGTACGAGCTGTGTCAAGTTGCACAGTTTACTTCTTGAAAAACAATAATGGCAGTATTTAATGCTCAGTATGAACAAAAGACAGGACAGTATCATCTTTTCTCCTCTTGTTCACATTGTTTGCCCAAACCTAAGATTCCATACTGTGGTCGGTGGCCCTGCAGGACAGCTCTGTCCTCAGGTCTCTTGTTGTGGATCTGGGGCTCCTGGCTCTCTTCACCACACAGCACAGTCTGCTTGCCTGGTCTCCTGTCAAACAGGCCCTCCAGTCAGTCCTAGGGGTCCTAAACAGGACGGTATACTGCTTCACTACTGCACTGGCCCTCCAGGTAAAGCAGCAGAAATTGTAAAAGTATGTAAAATGCTGCTTTTATTGCCATAATGAACAAAAAGTCATTAATTACAACTGTACAGTACATAATTTGGTAACCTTAGTGCATTTTGTATCTTTTTATTTTAGTTCATGTATTTACAAGGACAATGCAAAGCAGTGGACAATCTCGGCAGAGCCACAGAAAACAGTAACACATTAGTACAATAATACAGCAACAGTTTCCATTGTTCAGTACATTGTATCCCTGCTAGCATCAAACCACAGCCAAGCAATACCGATTAACCCACTGACATGCAGAGCAGCAATAAGACATAAGCAAAATGACAGTGTTAAAAGATGCAGTCACAAGTTAGTAATATCGCACCCTTAACACAAAGCCAAGGGAAAGACAGCTATAGATCGTCTCACATTGTTTATAAAGTACTAGTAAATACATACATACTATAGCCATGCATCAATTTCTTTCTCCTGTGTTAGATCCTGATGCGTTACTGGCAGCCCGTCACTGGCGCCCCCTGTCTGTGGTCAGTGCGTCATGTGCCCTGGAGTATCTGGTTCCCTCTGCTGTGCTTCAGTCTGCACTTCCTCTGCTGGGCAATCATCTGTAGCATCCTCATGATCTTTGATTATCCAGAACTGCTGGGCATCAAACAGGTAACCAGAGCTACATCAGTAGGCTAAATCTAGCTCAATACAAATCACAGAATGAGTGAGTGATTGCAGTACATGCTAATGGATAGGCCACCAAATGCCCAGTTACCAGAATGTTAAAGAATCATTCAGTAATTTCATCTTTTATTTTTTTAAGCTCGTTTTCATCATAGATTCAGATTGGTACTTTTCATTTTAGGTTTAATATTTTTCATTTGTTTTTAATAATCGTGTTTGAACTGTTGGTCAGACAGCACAAGCAGTGTGAAGATGTCACTGATTTTCTAACTAGCCAGTCCATTAACTGAGAAAGATTACTTGCAGGCCTGTGTAAAACAGTTTAAAGCTAGAAGAGTAAATGTACCTTACTGAGAGACAAAACACTACTGGGCAGTAGAACACTGTCATTCGAAGTAGAATGCTCAGCTATCTTCAGGAAAATGGAAAGTGGTACAAGGACCAGGAAAGAGAAGTCACAGCTGAGCGGTGTGTCTGAGAAGCATTTCAATCTTACTTGAGGTTGAAGATATGTTGTAGCGCAGGGAAGGTAGTAGTCTCAAGAAGCGGCCAGAGAGCCAAGGTAACATGGGGCAAAAACTCAATGATCTGGCATCTGTGCAGTCTTTCTGCGGCTTAGGAATGTGAATGTGTTGATTGCTGAGCCACTGCAGCTCTGAGCCACAATCAGGGAGCCAGCACCTGCCAAGAAAGAGAAAGGGAGAGAAAAAGAGAGCGAGAGGTGCACCGAGCAGATCTGACAGATATTAGTAGATTTACTTCAGTAAAGGATCTGAGAACTTATTCTAACGCTGCATCATAGCGGCTTGTGACTATGTACTGCACTACACGTGTCTGGTTACAGTTCTGTAAGTGTGGGTGGCTGTCAGAACTGAGCCTTCCCAAACACTGTACACCAGGCAGACCTCACTGAGCTGAGATGAAAACATCAAAAGCCAGTAAATTCAGCAGCTAACGCAATGATCCACGTCCACAATTACTATCTTTATTTTTATTTGATGCCAAAAAGCATGGAACTGCTATGAAAGCTGAACTGGTGCTGCTTAGCCTAACTAGTCTCATACCGTCTCACCCTCTGCCCCTTGCTGTCTCTCAGGTGTATTACGAGTGTCTCGGCTTGGGGGATCCCCTTTCTCAGAACTCACCCCGTGCCCAGCGCCTCCTGTCTCACCTTCGCCACCCGGTGTGCCTGGAGCTGGGTGTGGTGCTGTGGCTCCTTCCAGCCATGTCCCTGGACAGGCTCCTGCTGGCTGGGACTCTGTCGACCTACCTGGCTCTCGCGCACTCTCTGGACAAAGAGGATTTAGCCTACCTCTGTGTCCAGTTCGACAGCAAGATGCAGCTCTTTGCAGAGCCACCGCAGGGCAGCATCAACACCACCGAGGGGGATGACGGCAACCGCAAGGAGAAGTGAAGTGAGGTCCCTGTGATGTGACTGACTGTAGTCTTCACATTAATCAGAAATATTGTTTTAAAAGTGACTTCAAGTCTGTGTGATCCGCTCTGAGCCTGAGAACAAACAAACAAACCTGCTCTGGACATTTCTGCTACTGAAAAACAACCACATTCAAACTGAATTCTTTGCAACATGAGCCTGGATTTCTTTAATTATCCTTTTTACTGCTTATGTGGTTTAAGTAAGGAAGAGTTTTATTCTACCATATGAAAACATAACACTTCCCCCACTAAGGAGGGCGTATTAATGTTTCCAAGGGGTGCTTGGTATTCAAGTAAATTGTTTTAATGTTGGGGAAACTGAGATTTTGAGGACTTATGAAATATTTAAGTTGATCTTCTGTTAAAATTTATGACAAAGAATTTGTCCATTATTTTGTCATATTTTATACAGCCTGACCACTGACGCTGACCAGGTTTTAACATAAAAACATGCAGAACGAGGATGTACAGTACAAATGAAAGCAAAATGCAACACTCTTCATTTTCCAAGGAAACAAACTTAGGGTACAAATCGTGATGTACACAAAGACTTGGACATTAACTGAAAAGACTAAATGGCTACAGTGAAAACATCAGATCTATGTGGAGCGAGACTTAGCAATCTTTAAATTAATACATGAAACAACCAGAAATGCCACATTTCTGTCATGTTTTCCATCACTTTGTGTGTGACTGATGCTCTTTTAATCCCTTGATCTTGTTGTGGCTTCTTCTGTGGTGGTTTAGTGGCACATGACCACAGAATCAACACCACCAGCTGGTTCCCTCAATGAATGAACTCCTAATATTTGCAGTGGATGATACACATAAACTGACACCAATTTATCTACAGTGAGATTATGTTAGCAGCTCTATTTTGCAGTGAAACCCTCTTTTTATTCATCTTGATCTGCAACACTACAGTATATTATTTATAAGCTGTTACCTTCTATGTGCCAAGTACCTTCACATTGTATCTCTCTGTATACTATTAAATTTCACTGTCCTTGGAAAATAATGTATTACTGAGATTTTACACTGGCAAAGGCACAAAATGCAGCTTTATTTTTTTCACAGCAGCTATAATGAAAAAAGTGTCATGGTATTTCTGAGATTATGAACGTAGTTACTCTCTTACTCATGTTGGGGGTGCATCTACAGTAATGTTAGACTGAATGTAAACCACTTAAGTTAAACAAACTGTGTTTGGTATTTCCCAGTTCATGTTCTGTTAAGTCGTCTTAACAAGTGGCTGTAATTTCCTAAAAATGTCATTAATTTTCACACTGTAATCTTTCATTTACAGTATGCTGGTTTCCAAAGTCTGCATTGCTGCCTCATTCTAAATCTTTGAGTATTTTCATCATTAAACACATTTCTGTGCTCTTTAGGTGTGGTTTGTGACATGTTTGTTTCCTCTTTGTTAGTCTTCTTGTCAGGTCTGCTTACATTTAAATGCCATGTCACAAACTGAGAAACTTTCAGTTTCTTTGCACTATTTTATATCAACTTTGTGTGTTAACATGTGTTTTTCGCAAAAGGGAAGCCCTGTAACACAACTTTGTGTGTTAACATGTGTTTTTCAGTAGCTGTCAAGTCAACAAAGGCATTAACTCTCCAGCAAACAGCTACTTGATCTGAATACTGAAAGCATGATAGCAAATTTAGGGTCTTGAGCCTAATTTAAGTAGGATTAGATGAATAGTAGCGAGTTTATTAGGTAACTTGGACTAAACAAATGCAGTCTGATACAACAGTCCTGTGCTAAAATAAGCTGTTGGTGTGGTCATTTTGAAGGCTGTAACTCGTGGTGCTGTTGAACTGTACAGCATTATACAGAGGGGTGTTGCCATTATTTAGCTTAGCCTCATCAATATAACAGTACTGGACAAAATAATAAAGAATCTTGAAAAATGCAAATAATCGGGCCTGAAAATGTAAATGTGGCATTTAAACACCCCCTATATCTGAAGTGGGTCATACCTGGTCGGCTACAGGTAAACCCCTGTATCTCTTCCCTGTTGACACCTGTTGAGGCAGGATGGGGTGGGGGTTGGTGCCCTGGGCGGACGGGTATGTTCTTACAGCGTCTTTTCTTAGGTCAGACAATATGGTGTCTGCCTCTAAACTGTCCTGACGGAATTTAATGTAATTATCGGATTACAGTACTGCCGCCCTGAAGCTGGAACTATTTACTACAGTACGGACGACTGAGATGGTTTCATTCTCGGGTGCACAGTCCGTGGTGATGTGGCTGGGCCATGCATAGTATTTAACCCCCCCGTTTTGACAGCATAGATTGATCTGTCATTAACTGGCGAAGGAGTGGAGCGCATTACGCACAGCCAGGACGCACAAGTGGAGATGACAACCCTGCCGTCGACGCGGATATAGTATTAGCTGTGCAAAAAGGGCTTGGTAAATGTCGATGTTTTAATCAGATTTTCGATATCAATGCAGAAAGTGGCTTTCTGTCAGTACGTGTGCATAATATGTTGCAAGTTAATTAGATGACATTTATGATATTTTATTTAAAATTTTGACGTTTGACTCAGTGGACAACAGCAAATCTAGACTGCAAGCTAGTACTGTCAAACGTCCTACCTAAATGAATTCGCACCTTTTTATATGGTACTGCAATTAGGCCTACTTGTTAACCTGATATTACATCAGTGGGATTTGTAATAAAGGAGCTGTGATTGCACTGTTGATCCAAAAGTCACTTTTGGATACTTTTTATTTCTGTTAAACATGGTTGTAAGAGAAAACTGATTTTATTTCATAATTTCCTGTTTTTGTTTCCAGAGGATTCCCAGAGGCTCTAAAGAGGACCAGTGCCCAACCATTTTTTTTTTCCAAAACCTTGCACCTTATCTGTTATGTCTGTCTCCTCTCTGCCGGAATGGAAGCAACTCCTGCTGGAGAAAAAGAGGCGAGAGGAGGAGGAGCGAGAGAGGAGAGAAAAAGAGGAGGAGGAGAAGCTCAGCTGCATGCCTGCCTGGAAGCGAGGGATTATACAGCGGAGGAGGGCGAAGCATGAGGGTTTGGGTGACAGAGAGAAGGAGAAGGATGTCAGTCTACTGCAAGAGGATGTTAGATCTTCTGATGGTTTGAGTGACACAGACAGCTCTGTAACTGTCAATGTGGGAAGCGAACCATCACTCAGTCCTGATCCAGGGCAGTGGCCAGATACAAACTCCAAATCACTGAGTCAGGTGTCTTTGGAAGCTATAGTTCCAGTCCATGAAAACCCATTTATTCGCACACAGAGTGCTTGGAAGAAGGGCAGGGATGCAGACGCAGAGAATGAGCCAGAAGTTAATGAGAAGGAGAAAGACAGATCAAGCCCCAGGGGTCAAGATGGAGAGCCAGAAAGAGGAAGAGATATAGAGCTGAAAATAGAGAGGGTTCAAGATTTAAATGAGGAATGGGAAAAGGAGAGAAGTGAGGAAAGGAGTCAAGGAAGAGAAAATGAGAATAGCAGGGTGGGGTGTGACAAAGATAATCAATGGAAAGACTCAGTTAACGATGCAATGAAGGGAAGAGAATTTCTGAAAGTAAGAAAACACAAGGAGGAAAAAGATACAGATCCACAATCTAGTTCATTTTCTTCCCTTGTGCCATGTCTGCGGGCATTCCGAGCTGACAACATCATCATCATTGAACGGGAGAGGAAAGGCAGCAAAGAGAAAAGTGGGAGATGGAGGGAGGTGGAGAGTGAGAAGCCTGAGGAGGACCAGGGGAAAAGAGGGATGAAAATAGATCTGAGGGAAATCCTGGCTGGAGGAGGAAGTGTCACAGAGATCCACGCTCCTGCAGTTCTGATCATAAAGCCTCCGGCTAGCCCAGAAGGGAGAACTACACAAGGAAAAGGGAGAGAGGATGGAGAGATGAAGTGCTGTATGGATATACAGAAGGAAGTTATGGCCTGGGAGCTCAGAACAGACATGTCCTGGCTGAGAGAAAAAGAGAAAAAGACTGTCAAGGAGAAAGAGAGAATGTGGGGCCAGGCCACATTTATTAAAGAAGACAGAAAGGACACCTTGGATGATAATGTGTTTGTTGAGAGGGGAGGGAGGGTCAGTCAGCTGCTGAGTAAATTTGGAGAGCACCCCAAACCTCCATCTCGATCCAAAAGCTCTGATAATTTCCTCCAGCGTGGGAGGAGAAAATACTCAGGAGATCAAGATGACCAACAATCTGAGGAGAGGAAGGCAGCTGGGAGGAATATGCTGCTGAAAGGCATGCCAAAACGTTCATTTAGTTTCTCTGATAGAGTCATCTGTGCTAAGAAGAATGGTTTAGATGATGAAGGGTGTTCAGAGAGGAAAACACTTGAGAGGGTATATTCAGACAACAGCGTGGCGCTGTGGGTAGATATAGCAGGTTTAGAGAAGGAAAACACAGCAAAGATCCAACTGGGGTGCACACAGCTGTTAGATAAACACAGGTTTGAAAAGCATAGAGATTTACATGTAGTAAATCAGGATGGAAAGGGGGGACCTGTGCAGAGGGGGAGTGAGTCCGAAATGTTTATCTCTGTCCAACATAGGAGCAACGTTAAGAAAGCTGAGCCTGTTGATAAGAGGGATGTAGAGAAGTCAGGTGACACAGATAGAGATGAGGGTTTCATGGTCACATCTGTAACAAACACAGAGGTAATATCGTTTGCTAGAAGAGTACCAATCAGGCAGGACAGGAAAGCAAGAGCTGAAAGAGAAGTGAAGAGATGGGCAGGTGAGAAAAGTTTGGAAAGGGGGGTGAGTGTAGAGAAAGACTGTGAGTCACGTGAACAGATTGAGGCACAATTTGGGGACAAAAAGGCACCTGATCTTTGTCAGGAAAAGGGATTTGAAAGCTTGATTCCAGCTGAAACTAGGCAGAATTGTGTCATGACTACAAGAGCAGATGCAGCCAGTCCTTGTCACACTGCTGAGAGTCAGTACAAACATGAACCAGCTTTCACAGGTCTACTCTGTGCAGTCACACTCAGGGCTGGAGACCCCCACAGCAGGCCAGAGTGGAGCAGCACAGGACCCTACCTAACACATACTGCTTTGTCCCATCACACAGAGGATCTTATGAGTAAAACTGAGAAAACAGAAGACACGACTGTTAATAGCAACGAGAAGGAAGAAAAGGCTTATAAGACTGTTGGTGAAATGACGAACGAGTGCAAGCAGGAAGGACATTACAGCAACATTAATTCAGAGTGCATCATTCATGACGAAACAGCCAGATGTCCAAAAGAGATCACACCTGTGGGGAATCCCCCAGGTCCCCTTGAAATTCAAATCCCCAGGACTGTGTTTTACATTGCAGAAGAAATTGTGGAGAGAAAAAAGACTTTGTGTCAAAATATCGACGGGAAAAATTGGGAAGGAATGCAAGGAGTCGAAAAGAGGGATCGCTGGAGGATTGGAAAACCCTTGAGCTGCATCGAGTCCCTGCGAGAGAAAATTAGGCAAAGAGAATTGGAGAGTTTGAGACAAAGGGAGACACAGGATAGTGATGGGAGTGAGGCTGTAGACATCAGTGATACTCAGACAGATTTGGACATGTATGACAAGAGAGGAACTGAAATTGAGAAAGAGTGGGAAGCTGCGGCTCACATGCAGAAGAGGCTAGTCGAAGTAGAGACGGGACAGGAAGATGCAGCAGCACAGATATCCATGGCTGCGTTTGACGTCACACAGGAAGTCAGCGTGTTGAAAACCTGCCCTCAGCTTCCTGTTTCTGTCCTACACTCACAAGCCGTCAGAAGAGAGGAAGTAATAAGAAGGTACACAGCCGCTGCCTGCGAGGTTGTCTCTGACAGCTCCCAGATACCTGAACATGAAGACGACCCCCCGAAACATGTGGAAGAACAGTTGACGTGCCACAGGGGCCGACACGAGGGCATAGAAGAAAGGGAGGAGGACAAAAAGGAGCTTTCAGTTGAGGAGGTAGGGGAGGATACATCACCTCTCGATCCCACACAATCTCTCTCCTCTTCACCGGTTCATCCCAACTCCCTCGCAGCCATGAGCCGAATTTACAACTTGGAAACTGTCGGCTCAAGGTCAGGTTTGTGTCTGAGAGAGAGGACTGTAGACGTCTCATCGGTGCACCTTGTTAAAGTGAAACCCCTTATATCAAATGCACAGCAGGGAGACAGCAAAGCATTTACAGGTGAAGACAAGCGTGGGGTTCAGTCAATACAGCGTCAGATAGAGCAATTTCAGTTGAAAGAGAAAGAAGCACTGAAGTCTTGTTCCTCACCAAAAAGTTTTCTTAAGGACAGAGAGACAAAAGGGCAGCAAAGCCCCACGGGGGTGTCCAGGCACCAGGTAAAAGATGATGTCAAGACCCAGGAAAAGGCTCAAGAAAAGGCAGAGATAAACCTCAATATGTCACCTCAGCATGTTTGTTCCTCAACATCACCACTCAAACAAACTATCACCATCAACCCCTCGCGTCTCAGGAGCCCATCCCCGGACAGCTCTCTGAAGCCCTCCGACTGCGCACCGACCCCAGCCTCCTCCCCGAGCTCCGCTTCTCCTGTTCAGTCTCCCAGTGTCTCACCATTTCCAACTCCATCACCCACCCTCTTCTCCATTAGGAGTGCCTCTGGTGGCCAAGTGAAGAGAGGTGCCACCATCACAATCACACCAAGAAAGCCTACTGCTGGAGGAGGAGGAGATGCGACAGGGTCCTCAACGGGGTCTACAGCAGCAGGCTTGGCACCTGCAAAGGCTCCATTGCAGCAGGCTCAGATGACCCCCACTGAGACTGAGCCAGCAAAGAAGAAGTACCCAACAGTGGATGAGATCAAGGTGATTGGCGGATATCAGAATCTAGAAAAGTCTTGTCTAGTCAAGAACAGAGGGACCCCAAAAAGGGTGAGTGGAAACTATATCATGTTTCTTTTTTCCTTTGCTTTCTTTTCTCAAATAAATTTAGGGACTTATTGGCCTTTTAGTCATACAAACACTGGCACCAAAAACACAGAAGAAACGACCATGTCAAAAGTGCAAAACTGGTAAATTGGAAGACAACTGATTTCAAAACATTTCAATTGAAACAGTCAGACTAAAAAGGAACAGCCATTCTTCTGCTTTCTTGTTCAAGGTTGCCCAAAGGGCAGCACCTAGTGTCACCTGACTGATGGTCTCTTGTTGTCAAGAAGAATCTCCTTTCCCTTCTGATTGAGGAGTACAATCACGGGAACCGACCTAAGCCAGTTAAAGCCTTATCAAGCACGACATCTTGATTCTTGGCCATAAAATCCTGGAGTGATCTGCTTTGACTTTTGCTTCTGCAGTCTAATTCTTTGCAGACATTTGACTTTTACCCTTTGATAATGACTTAGTACACTGTTAACATGTAGCCAAACATGCCTGGGCTGAGGCAATAATGGCTTTTCCCTGGTTTATTTTTAGTGAGATGCACAAAACCCCAAGACAAAGCAAAAAATCCTTATGCTAATCTAGTTACATCTATTGTTTGCTTGTTAAACAATACAAAAGACAAGTGTTCCATATGTTTCATACATCATTCAGGATCATTCAGTTGACAGTAACTTTGCAGGCTTCAGTGGAGATAAAAAAAAGTTGAGTAGGATACCACACTGACAGGCCGCCGGCTCTTTACTCCCTCTTGTTTTTGTCTGCCTACCTAATGTCACACAGTTCATATTCAGACTTTGTGTTCCCTCTTTTTAATTTATCCCAGATCTAGTCATTGTTTGCGAAAGAGTCAGAAATAAACTCTAGTGTTGTTAAGTTGCTCAGCAGGGCAGAAATAAGATTAGTCCTCTATTACATCATATTGTGAAGATATGTGACTGCATTTATTTTTGTGTTTAACTGCACCTGATTGCTGATCAGAAGAATCCTACTGTTCTTTATGCCATTATTTTTAATGTAAGCATTGTCAACTGCTGGTAACCTCCCATTTGTCTGAGTGCCAGGCTGCTTCCTCACCAGTTCTGCCATTTCTGTTGACTCAGCTCTCCCTGCCTCTTAGACAAATCTCTCTTTGTATCTTTGTGGTGTTTTCCTAGCAGATGTTAAGCTTGTTAGACTAGAGCCTTGGCAAACAAAACTTTTTCCGTGCTGACCTTCCACTGTATGGCTGAGTGTTACTGACAGCAGGCCGCCGACACTTAGTTCTATGTTGGTGAAATGGAAAGAGAAAGAAAAAAGTGCTGCAGAAAGCTCTGAGATGGTCTAACGAAGAGCCACAATGACAGTGAAACATGACAGTGTGATAGTCAGGCTGAGCAGATTTAACACAAAATAGACGTTGCAAGCAACCTATTTGGTTTCACAGAAACTCTTTGTCACACTGCATGTTTCTGCGCATTTCCTCTTTCAAACTTCAGCACTTCCTCCAAACAAGAGACAGAGATCGACACAAGGAAGTGACGCTGGATCCATTTTCAAATTTCCAAATGCAATTTTACGCTGCTTTATTGCAGCCCATCTGTTTCAAAAGACTCGACTGCAGTGATTGACACAAGACTGACAGGGAAAAACATTTGATGCTCTTCTCTGTAAATGAATTTCTTCAAGTCTCAGCTGCTAATCTGTTCTCCATCTATAAGCGCACTCCTCTTTAGCTACTGTGTGACAGTAAAGCTGCAGCAAGTTGCCACTTTGATTTTCTGACCACCAGTTGCTTTCACATTGACACACTTCAGAATCTTTGATGTCATCCTTGTGCTTCATTATGTCACAGAGGGGGTGACCTGCTTGCTCCTCATCTTCCGCCTCCTTCATAAAATTCCTGCTAATAAAATTTTCTGTCTCATACTGTTTCTGTTCCTCACTGGGTTCCTCTGCTGCCCTGTTGAGTTAGCCAGGGTTAATCAGGTTCAGGGAGGGAGGATTAGCCTTCTGTGCCTTAGCATGATTTGTCCAGCCTCTAATGCAGAGCTATTACCTGCACTTCTCTGCAAACAGCCAGAGTCACAGGGTGAAGCACAGTTAACTAGCATGGCCTGAGCAGTTTGGTATCTCTACATTTCAGGCCCTGGTGAAATCAAATCTGCACATCTGGGTGTAATTACTACAAGTGTAGACTTCAGAGCTGAGACTCACTGTGGACGTGCTGCTGCTTCCTGCTAGATTTAGCCCATCTGTTTACACCAAGCTGGCCTTTAGTCCATACAAACATCCATCAGTGCAGATAAAGATGAGATAAACACTACAAGGCCTCTGTAAACTAAAGATGTTTTCTGCTACTTTTGCTGTATAAGCATCACTTGTCTGTGATGACAGTCTTTCCCCATATAATCAATAAGATAGTGCATGAAGTGTTTGGTAAGTACTTCTACAGAGGGAGTATCCCTGCTGTGTTAAGCCTCATGCTGTCAATTAACATTACACTGACAGCGTACAAACACTCCCTAGTGCTTCGACCCTACGTTTACATTTGATGATGTGAGTACAGTACACAGCAAAAACTGCAATTCTGACATTTTTTTTTGCTATTTGCATGCATTGCTTTGTTTTGATTTCTAAAATTATTCATTGTATAATGATGGCAAATTGAATTTTAATTTGTTAATCTGGATTTTAAGAGCTTCATTTTTATGTTTTCCTGTCATCTCACTACAGAAATGCATTCTGTTTTGACTCTATAATGTCTCTTAGACCAAAGTGGCAACTTATTATTGTCACTAATCTGCTTCTGAAAAGTTACACCGTGCTTTACACAAGGCAACAAAAACAAACCTTAGAATAATATGAACAAATGACAACATTGTTTGCTGATTAAAAATATAATAGTAGCTGTCCAGGGTGTACCTCACCTCTCTCAGTGTCAGCTGTACAGGGTAAGCAGTATAGGTGGATAGATGGATAATGCCTCTCTCTGCTTATGTTGACAGGTGAAGGTGTGTTTCATTGAGGACCAGCTAGAGCAGGTGTGTGAGTACCCATCAGAGGCCTCCATGCTGGCGTCTACCCCCTACCCTCATGACCTGGGGAGGATCGAGAGGTTGCAGGGAAAGGAGGAGCAGGAAGAGGATGATGAAGTGGAAGAAGCAGCAATTGTGTCCAAAGGCACAAGGAATGTTGCGATTGCAGTGCGACGGGTCTAAGAGTGGGTCAGTGTCACTCCCTTCTGAAAAAACACAATGTGTAATATGATGGTTTGTTCTGTAACATGTCTTACAGACTTCTGGGCTGTCCTGCAAAACTCTGGTTTGAATTTCTCTCTGGCTAAACTTGTGAACATCTCTTTCTTTTCTTTCTATTTTCAGTGTATTGTGACCTTAAAACAGGGCTGGAGTGCCTCAACTTTCCTTAGAGAAAAGATTGACAATATCCTGTATTTTTCAGCAAAATCTGTGAAAAGACTAAAACCAACAAATCCACTAATAGGTATTGACTGTATATCCAAAACCTGATATAGCTTATTTCTCTGCTCTATTGCCCAAAAATGATTAAAAATACATAACTGAACCACGCGAGACACTGTTCTGCTACTTTAAATATGCACTAGTGCATCAAATGTGCATGAATCCACCACAAAAAATCTGTGTCTTCAGAAGAAAAGGGCTTGTGCTTAGTGCAACAGACAGGGCAGGAAATTTAGAAGGTTATTTCATACCATTGAGTAATGTCTTGTAGCTGTTCTCAGGACATCATCTAATTCAAAAAAGTTAGAAGAGGAAAGAGGGGTCTCTGAGCTGTCTGGTAACAATTTCACTTGCTAAT